TATTTAAAAATACATTTTTTATTCCCTCTATTCATTTTAAACAAACAACTTCTTCGGTTAGACCACGTGAGGTCAAAGCTGCTGTAAAGTTGTAGCACACAAGAGAACTTTCTGCCGCTATAATGAGAGCTTTGTTGATGCTGTAGGCTCACTATAGCAAAAATGCCCTCTCAAGTACTATTGTTACAGTTAGCTGTTGCAGACTGACTCTGAATGCTCTGCTATATATCTCCACCCACCTTCACAATCTTCGCTACATAAGCCCCTGCCTTAAAATAACTACACTTTTTGTAGTTTATGAGCAAATTGGGCTTCTGAAATCACACTGATAGCTCTTGGAACCAATTCAATTCTGGTTTGGTAGCGAGAAAAAGCCCTGGCTGCTGCTTTTCCATTACATGGTAAATCTCCAGAGACTGAGACAGAGGCGTGCGAGTCAGCAGAAACCCAGATATTCTGGAGACAGAGATTTGTATGTACACAGTCCATATTATTGAGTAATAAAAAAGCTGATTGAGGGACTTTTCACTTTTAATTGCCACTTGAAGATGCATGTCTGAATAATGATCTGAAATAGACTGGCACTGTGCATGTCCCAGTGTTTTTCAGATTGTATTGTATTATTGACAACATTTCAGTCCCATGGTGTATTGGTGCAAAAATCCATAGGTTTAGTCACTATCCGTCATCATACTGAATGCTAAAGGGTAACAGAGTCATTTTCCAACCGTTTCCCATGTCAAGGGACTAATAAGAGACAGCATTTTTTTAAATTGGTCAACTAATGAGGGAGAACGGCATGAGACGGTTAAACAGGCTGAAATGTAATCCTTACAGGCAACTCCTCACCATCAATATACCTTCACTAAAAGGGGTTATATTTGACAGACAGGCTGAGATTATGTGTCTCAGAAAACCAAAAAAAGAAAAAAACTTTACTTTCTGTCTGTTCATGTGTGTTGCGTGACTGGTTTTCAATAAGTGAAAGGTTGAAACGAGAATGAGAGCTGATTAGAGGATAGCAAATGTTTTGTGTTGTACAGAAAGCAAAGGGAACTATAAATATTTTTGCAGATGTTGATAAATGTTGATGGGGAGTAAACTCACCTGTTTTTAAATGAATCCATTCTGTCCTGCCTGGACTTGAAAAGCTTTGTTTAAATTATTAAGGCAAAATTTTGGAAAGTACAACAGGAATTCTAATGGATCGGGCTTGGAGGCGGGGTTAAAGGAAACAATATCATCCTTTTTTATGGCCTCCATATATCAAAAATAGCCAGAAGAAGTAAATGTTTTGCTTCACGTGCCACTGAACCAACGAGGCACTGCATCCAATACTGTATCGCTGTACATCCATGGACACAACCTGTCCAAAATTGTAGTTAGTAATGAGGTGTATTTACTTCATCAAACAACAAGTAAATTGATCTAATTTGAATATGCTCATGCAATGGAAGCACCCATGATCTAGAGCTTGAGATGGTCAGCCATCAATTCCATAACGGTTCCTGAACTATCCAGGCAGCACAACAGATTGTGTCTCTCTTTCCTCCTTTTCTCTCAGTCTCACTCTGTATTCCTCTTATCACTTGTAACACACACTTGCAGCAGCAGTAGTAGGGAGGGGAGTGGGGCGAGCGGGGGGCAGCAAAGAGACACCCTGCGAGAGTCCAGCCATAAGGACCCTTGCTGTGGTGAAGTGATTGGCTGTGAGTCTTTCCGGACGCTTTGATGCTGGATGACAGGAACGTAAATGTCTGCTGAGATAATGAGGTGGCCCCAAGACGTCCTACATGTCAGTGCTCTACCAATCTCTGCGCTTGTGTAAACTACGCATCAATTTGTACGAGAAAAATTGTAATCTGATGCAAATAAACAGGACAACTCCCAGTGGCCTTTGTGCCAGTGGGGAGACAGGCGTCTTCAGATGGTCTGCAAAGAGCCGGGTGAGGCTAGTGGCTGCTCGGAGGATAGAGAAAACATACTTTTAACTGGATACCTGCAGCTCCCAGATTAACTGGAATATTGTGGATAAAAGCAACGACTACCAAAATTATTGCAGCTCTCAATGAGTTATCTTTTAAATAATTTCATAAATATTACTTCCTGCTTTGTTCCCAGGTGACATTTCACAACTCCAACCCATAGTTGTGAAAACGTTATATTTGCAGTCAGTGGAAAAATTTCCCAGTCAGAAAATAATGTGGTTTCTTCATAATAACAACGAGAAGACATTATAAGTAAACACAATTTGCAGCTGATGAATTAGAGGAACATGAATCCATACAGAGTCAAAAGGAAATATATCTGTTGAAATACTCTGATGCCGGCACTAGACAAAACAGCAAAACAGAGGGATGATTCATCCCCTCGAGAACTTTGCACACATTTTCACGCCAACCTCTTAAGTAGTTCAGTTCAATTTTGGACCAAACTGGTAGACAAACCTTAGCATTAGCCTAGCTTCAACAAACATTTTATATTTGTGTTTGGTGTGTTTTTTTCTCTTCCACAGAAGATGATGTGGGTTTTTTTAACAAATAAAACTAAAACAGACAGTTGGCAAAAACGTGTGGTGCACTTACCAAAACTCATCAATATTATTATATTATTATCATTAACTATTACTGTAATCATAAACCAACATTACCCTCTCCTAAAGTCTTTGTGCTCTCCCTCCCCACAGGCTTCTGTGGATGGTGGTTCTATCTGATGGTGGTTGCCCCTGCAATGGTTCTGCCGTGCGCCTGGCTTACTACTCACAATTATTTAAATCATATCTGTGATAGGAATTTTTACATTTTTCATTCTGTACACAACGGCATCCATTGTAGTCTGTCCATCCCGGGGAGGGATCCTCCTCTGACGTTCTCCCTTAGGTTTCTTCCCTTTTTTCCCTCTTGGAAGGTTTTTCATTTTTTGGGAAGTTTTTCCTGTAGCGATGATGGGTTTCGGGACAGAGGATATCACATGAGTACAGACTGTAAAATTTCTTGCGATTTTGGACTATACAAAAAAAAATGAATCGACTTGAATCACCAGAAAATTCAAAGTATGCAAAGCAGTTTGCTCACTCAGCGAAAGATATCAAAGAGCTGAAAATAGACATCTATGTCTCCTTTTCAAGATTAGAACCATTCATTCAAGAGCAGTGCAGTTTTGCAGCTTATTTTGCTTCCAAGTGGCATGGTCTTGCTATCCTTTATCCTTGGGCTGCACTCATTGGAAAACACTTGAGTTGGAATACTCAAATTCCAATTCCTCTTCCTCAAAATAGAACTTTATTTATTCAACACCATGGAGATAACTCAAGTGATAAATGCACTGCTTCATTATGATGGTTATATTACACTTTACATTTTTATATAGAACATTTGCACTCAAAATACCTTTTCTTTCTTTTTTTATATTGCTGGATGATAACAGTATGAATAGGCCTAGACTGTAGTGTTTTTTCCATTTACCTTATGCCTTGACCTTTGAAAACAGTTTTAGTAAAAGCCCATTAAATAAAATACCTCATTTATATATGACCATAGCTGCCTGGAGGGATTTCAACTGACATTTGAAAACAAGCTATTGCTATTCTAAATTATATCAGTTTGCTCCATTTTCAGAAAGAAAGAGGAACAGGGGCAGACTGTCACTTTTTGTCACCCAATATGATTCAGTGGTTAGCATCTGAAAGTGAGGAGACCCTTGGGCAGGGCAAGCAGAACTTCAGATGAATGAAATGTCTGACGCTCAACCCCAGAAAAGTTGTCGTTCAACATAGACCGCTGGACAGTAGTGGGCATGGAAGTCGGAATCCGCTAAGGAGTGAGTAACAACAACTCATCTACTGAATCCGCTAGCCCTGATATGTATGAGACTGAAGCGCCAGGCCCATATCCAGCCGTTGAGGGTTAGGCCACAACGAGTAGGAGGAAAGCTGCGGTGAGCATGGAACTCTGGAGCTGCAGCGGGTAGTAGTAGCAAATATTCAAACAAGGACTTTGAAGGCTGAAGTGGAGCTGTTATAAGAGCAGTCAGGTTCAGATCCCTGAGCGTGGAGTGGCAAAGATAAGTGCCACGAAGCGGCCAGTGCAATGAGGCAAACGGTTCCCGAGAAGATGGGGGGGGGGGGGGGGGTTTCCTTGTGAGAGAGAGGGCCCCGTGCCCTGGAAAGTGTCGCGGTTTCCGGTGGCAACCGGTTAGCTCTCGCTGGAAATCTGGGACTCTTGTGGGGTGGTTTCCGTCGCGTGGAAGACCGGCACCGGGCTCGTGGAACTACAGCTCTGGAAAAATCAAATCTTTACCAGGTTTTGGTCGAGAAAAAAATATGACTGGCTCTTTAAAATCTCTGTGTTCACTGCTGTTCACTTCTGCTATCATCTGGTGCTGATACAGTGGATTTATCTGAACTTTCACCGAAAACAGCTGCAGGGGACTACATTTCTAGAATTCAGGTGTAGCCAGCGGAAAATCTAAAGCCAAGGCTTCAACATCGGTACCCTGCTTATTGTTAGCAACTGGAGATATGGGATTGTTTTCTCAAGTAGCCAGCTAAAAAACAAGCTAATTTTAAACCAATACAATTTGCTGGCATCTTCTGATGGTAGTCGATGGGTCCTGAGATTGCATCTTCCACCACTGTTCTCCTCCAGACAGACCTGAGACAAAGCCTACTCGAACACAATTGGTCAATAATAGTCAGACTAAAAACCAAGCCATAGCACCCCTGATGCCAAAATCTCTTCCTGTTGCCTGCGTATTAGGAATGTAATGAAGCTTTTTTAAAGATATTACTTTCACACAGAAAAGCTGTGTTTGTGGTTAAATGTTACAGCCACTAGGCTCGCTGTAGTCTTTTTTTTTCTTATCACCAATCAACCATGTGACTAGATGATAACTTTTAAACCTACCAAGCAGGCCCTGCTTACTGATTTAATTGGCTGATAACATTAGGAAGCAGGGGACCAAAACCTAAACCTAGCCTTTCAATAAAAGTACCACTGACATGAGAAATTAAGCGTTTTAATAAAACACATCTTATATCTTACCTTGGACATAAATGATCTACAAAAGTAAATTGCATATTTGACATGAGCTGTGGGATTCAAACCTGAAATAAAATCAGTTAAAGCATTTAGACACAATCACCTGCCACATACAGGATGTTTACACCAGTACAGATTATTGAAGTTGAACAGAAACGCACACCACAATACACCAGCATTTCATTTTACTTGTACATTTGATTTGATGTACAAATGCGGTTGAAAAGAGAAAACTGACCCTTTTCTCAGGTCTCAGGACACTTCTTTTTGATTAACTTATTTTGATAACTTGTGCCAACGAATGTCTCTCTATTCCCACCTCCTTTTAAAGCTTTTGTTAATTAAGCTTTTGAGGCTTGAAGGTGAACCACTCTAAACTCATTCAGGTTGAACGGAACGTACTGTATCTTCGTGGCTCTGACTGGAGAGGCACAACCTACTGGTGAACAATAGAAGATCACAGAAAGTTTATATCTTTTAGATGGATATGGACATTTGTTCTCTGAAGAGAGGACACCATTATAACATTTTCTTCCTAAAAGCTGCAGATTTATTGAAATAATGCTGCTTGGTAGCGAAGCTCCAATGGTAATTTGCGAATGCTGCGAAATCTGTATTTTCATGATGAACTCTTTAACTAGATTTAGTGACGTAAGTGGCAGTCTCAGGGACGAGGATAAAAGCATGTATCATTGGTACTTCAATACAAAGTAACCCTCCACGTCCCTGCCGAGCCTGTTGCTCCTCAATAGTGGTGTAACGGATCAGAAACTCAGGGTTAGGAATGCATCACAGTCGTAAATGTTCTCTTTTTACGTTGTTAAAGAAGTTAATAATGTTATTTCATAAAGGCACACAAATAAAATGAGGAAATACAAGATATTTATATCTTAATTGATTAAAACAAATCTTCTAACATCTAACGTGATGTTTTTATGTAACTATGAAAAAATCTCTGTAAAAAAGGATTTATTTAAGTTTCCCACTAAAACTACATTTTAAGAGACCACATGTGAACACATCATAATAACGCTGGGGTTTACCTGATGTGGCCGATAACACGATCAGTCAAACTTTATTTTACACCGCGATGGTTAAGGTAAACTGCGTAATAAAACCACGGATTTGTGCGGTCCGACAATAATCCACTACCTCTCAATAATAGATGCCAAGATGGTCCCAGAAGTCACATATATGGTCCCTGGTTCCCACTTGTGCATGTGAACGCACCGTCAGGTTCATGACTAGCCAGCTGCTGGTGTCGGCATAGCGCGGCCAAACTGGCAGACGCTGCTGGTGGCAGAAAGTCGTCTGTTGGGCCCGGGAGGAAGGGTCACCAGTGTGTGCAAAGGCGCCCCAGTAGCACAGCATCCGATTGGACAGCAGCTTCTCTGATAATGACAGCGTGAAGTTGGCCACCGAAGCAGAGCCAAAGAGAAAGGGCAGCTCGGCGCCGTGACAGGCGTGCTCGTAGCAGAAAGTCAGGCCGGACCACACGCGAGGGTCTGATGCCACGTGGTCAAACATGTACATCCACACTTTGCTGCCAGTTGCTGTGCCAGCACGCGCCGAGCTCCTGGATGGACAATGGAAGACGTAGTCTGTGACAATCTGAGGAAAACCAAGAAACAAAAAGAGCTGGTTAGACATTTTCAAATATTTAAACTGAGCCATGCTACTGGCTATAGGCTCAATATTTGGTCAGTCAAGTTTGGTCCAGACTACTTTTGATGCTGCACTAAAATTGTGAGGATTTAATTTATTATAATAACAGCTTTTGCCCGCTGCGACTATATTTTGTGCAGGCATGCATGTTCCTCAAGATGAAGGCCAATGACTTTGCTGATCTTTGCAAATTTTCACTAGTGCCACCAGACGATTGAGATTTATTTATTATTAGATTAACTATAATGACAGCTATTGGATGCTTCATGCAGACATTTACGGTTCTCAGCGGGTGAACCACCGTGTATGTGTTGATGAGTGAAGGTCTGACTTTTCCCTTACTAACCAACCCCCACCCTGTTGACATTGTTATTGTTATCCTATTTGTAATATGGCATCGCCTCGCAGAGCTGCTTGTCCCAGCACATATAAAGCAATATTGGATTACGCAGGATTGTTTCCTTTTCTCTGCTCCTTATTTCTTCCTTCCCCAATGTCACATTTGCTTTCCTTTTTTCAATCTTAGAAGTGAAAAAATAACTTTTGACTCAGAATCAAACCAACTAATTTGTTTGTGTCAGTCAAGACACAGTGTTTCAGTAGTACATAAAAGGGATTTATGTTCGTTGATGGACGTCTCTTCTTTCCTTACTACCTCGTTTCAAGGTAGTCACATACTGTATTAAAAATTATTTTTCATTGGCTTATAAACATCATAACTGAGAAACCAACTGACTGAGGATGAGGGGATTACATTACGATGCTGAGCCAGGCTCCAGAGTCTCACTCGTAGCTGTTAAAATACGACATGTCTGGTCAACACGGTGACGTCTAAACAGCACTGCATTAAGCAAAACACCTGTAAAGTAAAACATTAATGAGTTGAAGAATGGCTTTGCACTGTTGAAGGTTTTGGTTTTGTAGAAGAGGAAATGAATTGCACTGATTACCACAACACCTACATAAAGACCGGCTGAGAGCAGAGCAGGACAAAGTGTTGTTCCCTCTCAGTGTGCATAAAGAGTATGAAGCTAGACCATCTTCTTCTGCCTGTTACCTGGAAACCAGTGTCTTTTGTGGCAGCATGCAACCTGCGCCCACACAGCCTCACATCTGACACCTACAAACAACCAGGCTCACTGTAGGGAGCTGATGGACACACACACACACATTATATATATATATATATATATATATATATATATATATATATATATGTATATTTATACATACATATTACACACAATGTATTAAGCACACCATACAGAATACATAATGCGGAGCACTGATAGTAAATGACACACGCACACATACATTCTCGTGGGTGCATGCACAGGTAGAAATGAACTCATGTAATGCGTATCATGTGTTCAGGCATAGTGTTCTGTAAATAAACGCTGCCTCCCCTTATCCATGTTTACCGTGCCCTTTTCTATATTTTTCCTCCACCACTGCCTACTTTCTCGCACCTCCTCTGCCTTTTCCATTACTTACCGACTTTTTAAAGCTGTTGAAAAAATAGCACATCACATGTGGGGCATGTGAGAACACGTTGTTGCCTCAATTGATTCTAAAATAGAATAGACTATAATAATAATGCTCTGCTTTGTATCTCCATCATTTCTCTGGTTTGATATGAAATTCTACGTTTCACCAAACAAACAGCTTGTTAGGCTATTGCACTCTTCCGTACTTTTAGAGGTCTACATGGAAGTAGATCTTTATGCCAATTCCCCAAAAGCCTGCACCAGTTTGCATCAACTCAATCAGAAAATCCATGTGGGTTTCTCTGTGAGGTCCATGAAACAGTTTGAACACAATCTGCTTCAAAAAGAACCTCTTCAGCAGCTCCATGGCAATGACAGAGATCGATCTTCTGGTTCTCCATCAATCTCCCACTGAGAGCAGCTTTTCACACGCAGCTGACGAGCAATGATTCCGTCGACAAGGAAAATAAAGTTGTTGACAATTTCAAAAAGAGAGTTAAGGACCGAGAAACTCTCCATTCTGAAAAGGTCGATGAGTGGTGTGTTTGTATAATAATAGGGGCTATTCTGGTTTACGTCAATCAATGTTGGGTTTGTGAAATGCTGACAACCACCCTAGAAAAGCGAAGCTGTGAGCTTTCCCCATCAGCCTCCTCTGGGACCGACTGGTTGAAATGTGCGGCGACCCCCCAGTCCTCTGGAGTGGTGCCCTTCATGGAGAGGTGTGTGTGTGTGTGTGTGTGTGCTAAAGCCTATAGTTGTGAATCTACGGTCTACCACACCGTGAACTGGGAGTGAATATTAAACCTCTGTGCTGAGCCAACTCTCTCTATTCCAACACTGGAAAAAAACACAAAATGTCATCAACCGCAGCTTTTAAACATGTGCCAATATTAAAGGTATGGTTCATCATCACAGTTGGTTGGTATTCAATTCAGTACAAATTGGTAAAACAAATACAGGCTAAGCACTACATAGGGGTCCTTTGTAATAATAATCAACATCTTTGATTTTTAAGGAAGAGGCTCATCTCACCTCACAGCAGGTGGGCCTGTTCACACGGAACTCCTATCAACAGGGGACCTCATGTGATTTCAACTTACCCTCCACACCAAGATAAGGAGAGTGTGCATTTTACTGTATTTATTTTACAAATGGGTCTCCGTGCTCTGTAGCTAGTTGAGACTTCTGGATATGTAGCCTAAATGCTGCAAAAACATTCCTTTATAATTCAAAAAACAAACATAATAATGCTTGGCGGTGAAAGAGACGAGTAGAGCAAAGCGAGCAAAGCGTTGACAGCATACACATTATGGAGGAGAAATGAAAAAAACTGTGTTTTGGGTCAGACTGATAAAAATCTGGAGCTGCAGCTCCCTCTGTGGACAAATGATGAGAACTGGGTTTGAGGAGTCAACGAGCAGTAAGATGGTGATGCTGAACTTTTACTGAAGGTAACGAGCCGAGCTGATGGCTCTGCGGTTATAGAGTATCCACACACTTTCAGAATTACCCTGTTCTCACGGAAACGGGTCTTAATCAGAGACTAATCTCAGTAGCAGAAGAAAATGATTGTTTTCGAAGCCGTAAAGAGCACAGAAGACAGCTGGGTCCCCGCCACACACCGAGCTCCTGCTGGGTGGGAAATCGACCCGTGCAGGGCCGCCCGCCTCCAAAAGGGTGCTTACTGGTGCATGTGTGCGTTTGGGTGTGCGTGGCAGATTGTGTCAGTCTTCACTTTTCAGTCTGTGAGCATTTTGCACTGTAGCCTCATTTTTTCCTTTTCTTTATTATTTTTTCTTTTATTATTTTTTTTCAAATAAGCTATTTCCATATTTGTAATGTTTCCGTTCAGTAGTTATGCACCAGATGAATAACGACTTGATGAACAGCAACAGGCTTTTATTCCGTGGCTGGTACACACACTCTGTGTGGCCTTGCTGTCTGAATCTGTCCATTTCCTGTAATGGTTGTACTGTGAACATCACACTATTTTCAATATGGACATTTCTTCTGGGGTGATGCTCCGCACATTAGCCGTTTCTGACCAATGACATGTTACGGTCTAAAAGTATATAGCGTATATATATATAGCTAGCATCAGTAGGAATATTGTTAATCATATGCAATTTACCCGTCTGATCAAAAGCTGCCTTCTACAGTATGAGCTGCAGATTTCTCTCTGAACTTTACATTTTGTCAGTAAACTTGAATAATAGTTGTTAGCAGCAAAGGAAATGCATACATTTTTGTGTCTGCATTTCGATATTGAGACCTTTTATCAAGGTGGCAGACGTGCATATTTAGTGTCTAGTTTTCAACAGTGAATCATGCAGACTGCTACAGCATTTTGTATGGGTTACGAATCTTAAACTAAAGCACAGGTGTCAAACTCAAGGCCAATCCGACCCGCCGGGTGAGTCCAGTGCGGTGTGAGAATTACAGAAAGACATAAATTGCATTTCTATAAAAGTAGCTGCTATTCCTAGAAAGTCCACTGGGGGTCGCACTCTGTGAGTGCATGCGCACCAACTGCCAAGACAAATTCCTTGTATGTTTGACATATTTTGGCAATAAATGTTTCCTGATTCCTGATTCCTGGTTAGACCAGGAGGACCAGGTTGTTCACCAACGCAGTGCCGGTAGATCACCTGCCTTTGAAAAAAAAAAAATCATGTCACTTTCAGATCGCTTCTGACAGACAAGAGGCTCGTTGTGTTTTTTTATATTGATTGGTTTGGGGGGGGGTAGATCGCCATCCGTTGGATTGAAACGTTGAGTGAAAAGTAGCTCGCGACTGTCTGTGCCCCCCTGTCGACCAGACGGAGTAATGTTATACACGGAACCATATATGGGGCATTTTTCCTGGTATTTTTCATGTGTTATCGGCAATAATCAGAAAAATAATTTCTTCATATTTTCTTGGCTCTTTGTTGTTATGCAACAAAATACAACAACGAAAACCAAATACCATTCAAATCTTCTTTGTAGCGTCCATTGTTGTGTTTCATCACAACTCTCTGCTCACAAACACACCAAAGTCACATTTTCCAACTCTGGAGCTTTGAATAATGGCGTCTGGGTTACAGTCGGTCCTTGCTTGTTTATTTAGCAGTTTTAGTTTGGAGCATCTGCACCAATTAGACAGGCAGCATTAGTCAGACGCTACGATAACAGAGAAAAGTGCTTTCTATTTGGCACGTCACTAGTTTCAACATCATTCTCCCTCATGTCTCTTATCTGTCCCTCAACAAACAAGCTCCACTTTTTCCCAGCACAGTTACTTTTACATTAAATAAGGGGAACCAAACACTTCCTCTCTACAAATGAAGCCAAGATGATTTTGACAGGGCTACGTGTTTTCTATCACGTGAAGAAACTTTCCATGGCTTCCCTACACAACCAAGCTTTGCAACATTTGTGCTGACCTCCCTGATACTCTGGAGAAATGCCTTTTTCCGAAGCGATGCAGAACGTGATGAAGTCCAACCTGCAGTTGTACTTGGTGCACGGTGAGCTGTGGCATGTCCAGGGACGTCCCCTCCTGACCCCCTGTGCCGCCCCCGAGGCCGCCGCCTTGCACTTTTCTTTGGTAAAAGCCTGACAGAAAACTACTAAAGGTTTCCACTGTGATATACATGAATGATAACCAAGACAAGGAGTGAACAGCCAAGTGGAAATATTGCAAGAAAGCATTTTAACATTAGTTGATTAGCACCTAACACGACACTCAGCTGGACGAGGTACACCCTGAGCAACAAAAAAAAAAAAAATTTAAATAAGATTATACAAATTTTCAATATTTGTGTTTTTGAAATATGAAATGTACCTAGCTTTATTTGTAAAATATGATGAAATAGTAAGTTGCACGTCATGTGACAAGTAGACAGTTAGAGCTGTCCCACAGGAGTGAAGCAGTTTGATCAAATGCTGATTATAGATGTAGAAGAACCGACCATAATCTCTCCTAAAAGAGCCATTTGAGAGGAGAACTTTGGCGCAGAAACTCCAGGTAACCTGAGCCGACCATAAGACAGCACTGACCAAAAGATTGACAAACAACGATCCAAAATGTCAAAAAGTCATTTGTAGACAGTTAATATTGCTACAAATTGAGAGTCTTTGAAATTGAGAAGAGTCTTTTTGAGATATGTTAGTTAGTCTGATAGCTAACAGCTGAAACTGGAGACACTTTATTGGTATACTTGCCGAGCACAGCTTTAAATAGATTGGGTGCTCATTCAAACATAAATGAACTAAAATATATGCTCTTTGCTGCCACCTCCTGTTGTTTACCTCAACAAGTAACTCTACAAATGAGATTACTCTGGACCCTAACACTAAATCATCACTAATCACTAAAGTGTGTTTATGAATCCTCGATTGGAGGATGCCAACTTCATTAGTACTCCGAGAAACACATGTGGCATAAACAGCAAGATTCAAACAAACACAGGGCTTTTCACAAGGAAACTTTTTTTTAGCCTACTGATTTTTAACTCGTCCTAAGCTTTTTGGGTAAACCTAACCAGATCACCCCGAAGGCTAGTAAACCTACGTTGGAAGACACTGTAAATGTAGTATTCGGGATGGTTACTTTAGAAAAAGACTTGGGCATTGTGGTTTGAGGCATAGGGCCACTGACTAAACGGTGAGTCGGGAGTGAAAATGTGTTGGAGCTCTAAATCTGCTGAAAATGAAAAGACTTGTGTTACCTGAGCCAGCATACCCCTGCGGTCAGCATCCCTGTACAGGGGCAGATACTTGTGCAGGATCCGCAGTGCGTGTTGTTTAAAGATGGCGGTGACGTACACAGCGCTTTCCAATGCGGAGACCGGCTTATTGAAGACTCCGTACGCAAAGATCACGCCCTCCTCTGAAGTCGTACCTGTAGGACGGAGAACAGAGCCTGCGTCAGCGCTAACAGGTAGCCGGGGGGCTTTTTGTCATTCCTTTTCAAGCTTTAAGATTGTAAATGGCTTTTATTCAACTTATTTCACTGCAGGAAAATATGTGGTTCTTTACCATAAATCTCACAGGGCAAAGAAAATGTGTTTTCATATTGATGAGCCCACATGGTACAAAAATGAGTTCTGCATCTGCTGCTTCTACATTTTTAGAATAGCTAAATGGTTCTAATATATAATACTGTGGATTGAAAACGTATATTACCACAATGTTAAGTATAAATCTTTAATGAAACATTGGCAAACAGATCATGGTGCAAAAGTAACGCTTCAAAAAATTGGAGAATGGATATCTTCCGTCCATTCCTTTCTTCTATGTTTTCCTAATCAGTTTCCAGGGACCAGTAGTCAATGTAGTTCAAGTAGTGGTTAGAAATTTAGTTGTTTGTAACTGTACACTACGCAAATATTTTGCTTCACTGGGGAATTGTTACAGAAGATCATCTTTGCATCCGGTTAATTGGTTACTCTAAATTGCCCGTAGATGTGTGAATGGTTGTGTGTCTCTGTGTAGCCCTGCGATTGGCTGGCGACCAGTCCAGGGTGTACCCCGTCTATCACCCGAAGTTGGCTGGGATAGACTCCACCCCCCCACGACCCTGTGTGCAGGATAAGAGGTTTGACAATGGATGGATGGATAATCTTTGCCAATTCAGCCACTCTGACAAACTGTACTCAGTTATCAGCAGTATTTGAGGCACCTTTCAAGGTTCCATTTTTCTCATACTGTATGTTCATGTCTGTGTGTGTGAGTCTTTTACCCAGCAGCACCGGCTTCTCTTTCTGCCAGTGGCCCTTCTGGAATGCAGTGACAGCTTGCTCTTTTATGAACTCCCCATCAATAAAAGGACCCCACGTCTCAAACACCTCAAGGAACCTGAACGGGTTCACAACCTTGGAACCTGAGATCAAAAGACATATTGGTGAGATTGAAAGTACACTCTGCCGTGAGGTTATTCATTAAGAGACAAAGGAAAGAGGTAAACATCGCCATGCTAAACACTACAATAATTATCCTGAGACTTTCCTCAAGCCATTATGGTTAACATGCATGCAACTTAATCCCTGGTCAAAAGCCTGTATGCTGCATATCACACTGATTTACGTTTTGTAACAAATGCACACTCACCCATGCAGGAAAACACATATGTTGCTCTTAATTGCATAGACATTGCATAGAAGCTGCCTGCTTATACCTCCAGTATTGTATCCTTTCATACCAGTGATCATAGCACTAGATATAGACCCACAGCGTTTGGTAAAGCTGATCTTTTGTTGCAAGTACAAACATGACAAAGAACATGCTGCAGTTGTACTACTTGATTCAGATAGAATGTGTTATTGGTATTGCTGGTATATCCTGTATTGTATTGCCTTGAAGCATTTGCAAGTCCTTAAATGCAAGAAAGTTTTTATGTAAAACTGCTTGTGCCTTGTATCTTAACAGGAATTTCCCGGCTGGATAAATATATATAAAATAGAAAAAGATCATAGCTAAAATCTCTCGTCACAGATATGTTTTTGTTTTATTTTTTCAGAGTAGCAGAAAACTGCAGCAGATGACCTAATCACACAGTCAGTGATGCTTATCAATCAACCCTGTCAGCCCTGCAGACATATTACAGTCATTTGGTGCTGAGAGGCAGTAAAGTCCCTTTGGAGGCCGATTGTTTATGCCAGTGCTCAGGATAAAAATGTTTATTTCATAATGTTTCACAGATAAACGGCACTCTATCCTGCAGTCTTGTGTAACTGTGTGGGGAGCCCAAAAGAGTCTCTCTAAATTTGGCGAGTGTGGGCTTGTGTTCACGGCGCCCTACTTGTTTTCATCTGGGCGGCCAGGACGGCCTGCGGAGCGAGAGACAGCAGGCAGACGATGTCGCTCACAGAGCAGTTTGTCTGTTTGGCGAAGTCTTTCCCCAGCTTCAATGCGTCGTGTCTGGGAGAAAGACAGAGAAAATTATAGTTCAGCTTCGAGTTGTCTGTGAGCATGCTGGGAACATCTGCACGGTTTGAGTAAAGCAACAGCTCAGGCAGACATAAATCACACCGGTGGTATCTCAACATTTCAGCGAGGCACACATCAGTAACAAGTGTCAACTCCAAGTCGATGGTTCCTCACCTGCTCTTCAGCGGGATGGAGAATGGGAGACTTTGCAGGACGGCCTGTTTGAACAGGGGCTTGCTGCTCTGGATCATCAGGTGAAGACTCACCGACTGAGCACCTGCACTCTCCCCAAATATTGTCACCTGATGACAAAGAAAATACATAGATTATGAGTCTCAGCAATGTTGTCAGACATGTCTAATAAAAAGCCTGTCAGTGGCTACAACAAGCACTTCTCGTGAACATACGAGATTCGATTCAGTGAATCAATGAAGCTAAATTCCCCTCATGTTTACTTTCTCCCACAATACTGGACCAGTTTCATGAATGTCAGTGACTTGGACACAATAACATGCCTAGAGTAAAGATTAAAAAAAGCCAGAGTAACACTTTAACCAGTGTTGGGAGTAACGCGTTACAAAGTACAAAGTTAGTACAAAGTACAAAGTTACAAAGTTACAAAGTTACAAAGTAACGCGTTACTGTAATTCCACTACTTTTAGCGGCAATGAGCATGTGGGGTCGTCGTGGCGCAGGGGTTAGAGAAGGTGTGCACAAGGTTGGTGGTTCGAGTCCAGGCTGCCCCATGTTCCATGTCGAAGTGTCCCTGAGCTAGACACCTAACCCCTAATTGCTCCCTGGGCAAAAATGTCAAAAAGCCATGGGTTTAAAGTGTAATGTAAGTCGCTTTGGATAAAAGCGTCTGCTAAATGACATGTAATGTATCCAAGTATTTTTTAAAATAAATTGACGCAGTTACAATTACTGAAATTGAAATGAGTTTGTTACTCGCGTTACTCAGTATTACACCCTGCCTTGTGGCAGGGGTGCTTTCCGGCTCGCAAGCTACTGTTCAACTAACTAACTTTAGTCATGGTGATCTACCCTCCCTCCCCCCCTCCGGGGGGCCGTAGCTACCGGCTGTAGAGTCGATATGAAGAAAACAACGAGCCTCTCATCTGTCACGAGGAAATCGCCACAAGCATCCCGCACATTCTTGGTCATTACCTTACTGGAGTCAGCCTGGTTTGCTTTGGAATGAAATTAAATGCGTCCGTTAGTAAGCAAGGATCGGTAGTTAGCATTAGTTCCAGTCATCTCCCGCGGTAGACCGCTCATGCGTGACGTTATTTTTTTCAGCGATGGCACGCGATCGACTGGTACTGCCAATCGACCTACTGGGCACCCCTGCTGTTGCACAATGACAATAAAATCTGTGTGTGTGTGTGTGTGTGTGTGTGTGTGTGTGTGTGTGTGTGTGTGTGTGTGTGTGTGTGTGTGTGTGTGTGTGTTTGCTTGCCTTGCTGGGATCACCTCCAAACGCTGCAATGCTGCGCTGGACCCAAAGAAGAGCAGCCTGCTGATCCAAGATCCCGTAATTCCCAACAGCTGAGTGGGCGTCTTTGCCCGATACGAGGAACCCAAAAGCGCCTTTAAATCAAGCACAAAGTCGCATTATCAGACATAATAGAATCCAGCAGGACATTAATTTCCTCTGAGCTCCGAATTATCGTCCACACATCTCTGCTTCTATTTTCGGGCAACAAGTTTATCATTTAAGACACGCAAACATTAGCCAGCCTCATGCTGTCTCGCGCACATGCACAGTCACACACACACGCACGCCTGAGAACACAGGCACGCACGCATGCATGCAGGTAGGCGCTCCACAATACTGTTATTTGAACTAAAATCCCCGCCGACAAGCCAACTACAAAGCTCCAGTGCTTTAAGGGAAAGAATACTGGCAAATACACTGTTATTATAATTGCGTGTTATGCGTTTAACACACATGTTACGCGGGGATATTCTCAATAAAAGCAAAGCGCAGGAGAACTTTCATACCCAGTCGATACTCCAGGCTCACCACAACACTTTTGGTGGCGTTGCTGATGAAGCGCCCGTCGTACAGCGGCTTGGAGGCAGAGCCAGCGATGAAATCCCCACCATGGATCCACACCATGACGGGCAGAGGGGCCACCAGCGGACAGCTGAAGTCCACATCCAGAGGGACAAAGACGTTGAGGTAGAGACAGTCCTCGCTCACCTTTTTGGGACATCAGAGGAAATAATCATTCAGTTTGTTAAAATGTTTACTTGGTGCTAACCTTAATTTCTTTTTGTGGGAGACTACAAATATTAAATTATCCAATGGACTAAATTAACTATGAAGTAGCTAATTTTTTCTAATTTCTTAATAAGTAAAACCAGATCAAACAGTGTAGAGCTCTTCAAATAGCTTAATCGGTGGTATGAAACACACTTGAGAGCTATTTTTTACAAAACTGTAGACCTTTTAGCTGCCCAAAATAGGTTAAATTCTAAATCTAGCAGGTTGACAGTTTTCCAGCACAACTGCTTAGAGCATTTTTAGGGAAATATACAATTTTACAATTGGAAAACCAAAAGCATAAAAAGTAAATCAGGCAGAGAGAAACACTTTTGTAGCATAAATTGGGTGAGCCACCTCAATGGGAATCAATGTGTACCAGTTTGTGCAGAATTTAGTCCTCAAAAAAATGTTCCTCTGTTACCATCAACCAAATTTACAACATCTTTAATCAGAGTGAGAAGTTGCAGTGTTACTTACTATCCGAGGACACTCCTCAGCCATGGGGCCGCTGCAGGCCTGCATGCATGCCGCCCTGGGGAAGGAGGCATCATAAACCCCCAGCCAAGGACTCGCAGGTCTGGGGGGCTTCCAGCGGTAAGCCCCAACAGGGGGGTCTGCATACGGTATTCCATAGAAAATATGGGCCTTGTCCACTGTAACCCCCGTGATCGGGCCGTCTTTAGTCACCACCAGTGGTCCAGGCGCCCCGTTTGCTTCCCAATGGACTGGCTTGACCTTGCCTTGCTGAGAGATTGAGCCGGTCGCAGGGCGTCCTAGCTCCCTAAGGGACTTTATCCCAAAGTCTTTGTTAATGGTAAAAGGCTTGTCTCTCACTAGGTGCCCAGGAAGGATACTTCTCAGAAAGCCGACAAGGTCGATGTCATCATCCTGTTCCGTCGCCTCTCTGGAGGCCAGCGCCAAACTTAGCATGCACAGCAGCAGCAAACAGTGCCAGCTCTCCATATTGCGTTGGAACACTGATATTCTCCCCCAGAACCTGCTGATCAGATCACGATTTGACTTGAATTATGGTACAGCAGAGGAAGAAACAGACGTAGCACCCCAACCCCCATTAGCCTGCAGCTTGAAACTCTCCACAGACTGTGCATACTTGTGACTTCAATTTTGCTTGTTAAGATTTATTGGACAAAAGCTGCCCTGTTTGTTTGTTGAGTGGTGTCCAGTAGACAGAGACGTTGTGATGCGGGGCCACTAATAGAGGACGAGTCGTCTTCCCTTTGCTTAATGTAATCACAGAGTCACCCCCAAGGTAAATAGGGAAAACGCAGCGGGCTTCACAAAAGAATAAGTGATGGTACAGTTTGTAAATCGTCTTTCAGGTAGGTCAGTTACTGATGTTTAGTCAAAGTGAATATAATAGATTTTCCCACCGCAGTATCAGCATCCATTTATAAGCCCTATTTTCCATTTTTGTCACATACAGCGAGCAAATTGACATGCAATCTTCACCAAATGTCAGTAACTAATAAATACAAAACATTAAGTTATGTGTAATAAAATAGAACGATAGAGAGAAAAAGTATTGACCCCGCTTTCATATATATATTTCAAACAGTATAACAGTTGAATTAGAAATAAAATGAAATCAGCAATGAAAAAGACAAAAAAATGGTGGGTGTGGGATTTAAACCCGAGTCTGTGGCTTTGTATACTGAAAATCTTACCACTAGGCGACTAGTTCTGATGCACATGCCGAAATTCAAGAATTTTTGAATATGATAAAGGCCTCAAAAGGGCGATTGAAGGGCGATTGAAGTGGCAAAATAATGATAATAATTCTATAATAAAACACAATAAACTTCAGCAGTCGGCTCAGGCCCCAATAATGTATTTTTTGTTTGAGCTACTTTTTAATTGCTCCCCTCCTCTTCCTCCACTCTCCGAAACAACAACTTGTCTGTGACTCAGCAGATGCGCAGGCTGGATAGATTCTTCACAGTGTAGCAGAACGGAACTGATGCTCCCCGGGCAAAATATAAAAACTATGGGTTAAAAACGCAATGTAAGTCACTTTGGATAAAAGCGTCAAATGACATGTAATGTAATGGAATGCATTGCTCAGGTGTCATTTTGGCCTATTCTTCTACACAAACAGTATTGAAATATTTAAGGTTCAATTGGATTCAAGTCAGGTGATTGGCAGGGCCATTCTAGCAGCTTTATTTTTATAAGTTAATTTAATAGTTTAATAATTAATATATACATATATTCATTGATATACTGAATTGTTTGAATAAGATGTACTTATTGTTAAATTGTCAATAAATGTTAAATATTTAACTGCAAAGTAATAATGCGTGTTTGATACTCTTTTTTTGCATTGAATCATACTGGGATGTTAATTGTAGCCTAACTGATGGCCCTACCAAAAAATAAATAATATCCACCAGCCGCCAATGTAGGTTTGTTTCTTTATGGTTGAAATGCACTTATTGAAAGTTGCTTTGGATAAAAGCGTCAGCTAAAGGACATGTAATGTAATGCATTCTGACTTCTCTTTAAAAAGAATCAGTGACGTTGAGGGAGATGGAGCCGATTTCAGGTAGGCCTACAGAGTATCCAGATTCGAAAGCGAAAGTTTTCCAATGTCTATTTTTAGACTTTTATGTTTAGACCACATTTCAACGTGATTTTTAATATCGGTCTTAAACTTACAAATGTGGACGTCGTTTCTTTGTAAACCTCTAAAATAATGATGTAGCACAAAGTAGAGGATGGAACATTTCCGTATTGAAATGTGGTCTAAATGTCTACAAATAGACGTTAAAAAAGGTTTCACTTTTGAACGAATTTGAAACATTTTTTAACGCCGGCCACAGACTTCTTTTCCACGGAAATGTGTTCGCTGGGGAGACAGATAACATCAGAATCAAGAACTAATCGAAACTCACCAACAGATCCGCACATAAGTCAAGAAGGAAATGTGTCACGAGGGACAAGTGCATTCAATTTTGAGAAATCCGGTCATTTTTTCAAAATAAAATATTTTACATTTAAAAATAAAATCAAATGGAAAAAAAGGATTTTTTATTTCTCTGCGGCTCGGTGGTTGGGGGACCCTTCATATACGGTAGTCTAATGCTTGCGCATACACTAGGTGTTGTACGATAGTTCACGTTGTGCCTGTAAAGTGAGACATACGGTGATCTATTAAACCAGCGGAGCCTCTATTGCATTTATGTACAGCCAATACAATACCTGAGGAATGCAGCAGCATTCCTGCGTACCAGCTGCAACAGAAACGGCAGTCCGGCTGACCAGCAGTGACGTCAGGGAGGAGTTGAGGGAATCCCCGTCTCCCGTGATTGGCTAGTGGAGGCCTTGTAAATAGCAGGACACCGAGACCCAGCGAGTAATCAAAGCTCGCCTCTGCTACGCCATTTAAGAAAACAATGATGACGTTTATACCGTGGTGTTTCTAAATTCTATTCTTTGAATAAATGGCGTGTTGTTGATCGTAATCTCAACAAAAACATGTTTCTGTGAATGAAACGTGCTTTGATAAACGTGATGATGTAAATCCGTATCAACGCAGGAAGTGAATCTGAGCAGGTGCGTGACGGCAGCGCACACCTGAGACTCATTAGTGGTGTGACGCTTCCAGGCAGCGCTCACTTTAAAACATAAGCCTTTCTTGACAGAGTTAATGTGACAATGTAAGGAAAATCAAGTAACCGCCGCGGTTTGCACATGGCGCTTGAGCTCAGCGGATTAATCCCATTTTATATTTTCAGGAATTCCCTTCAGCTGTCGTTTATCATTTTCATACTGGTGCCATATTCGATATCATTTGGTGAGTAGCAGCCCGTCACATCAGTTAAGATAAAGCAAACTTACATTTGGAGACATTGCAAATGATGTTTCCCGCAGGACGTTGTGACGACATGTCCTTCTCAATCTGCTGGATGAGTGAAGGCGGCGCTCTGGAAAGGTAAATGGAAGAAACCACGCATGTTTGGCTTTTGTTGTTGTTCGAAGGGAACCTCTCCTCAAACTACATTTACACAAACGCAACTGCGTTCAATGTGACCGAACCCTGCCAATTTAGACATGGTGTAACATTCCTTGTCGGATTTTATTAACCGTTTATTGCTCCAAAATTAATGCATTAATTAAATTTAAATCGAGGCTAAACCTCAGGGTTGGAACCTCGCTCGCTATCCAAGGGCAGCTTCAGGACCATAACATCCTCAATTTAGATCTCAAATCTCACCCCCTTTTATACACACAACGGCTTCTGTCTGACCTAATAATAACATTGTTTATTACATAACTTTATTTAATAAACTTTTATTTTTACTTTTATTAATACAAAGAAATAGAATAATATGGGGCGCCGTTTGTAAAATGTCGCTATACCTTGCTGACTGCCACGTCATGCAGGTATAAAGCAGAAAAACAACCAGCCAACCAGGTTAGTAAAACATAGCACTTTAAAATGAGCTCTTAGCAGGAATTTACATTTTCAAATTTATAGAGACTTCTGTCGGCTTATCCCAGGAGAAAAATTATTATAAAACTTAATGAATAAAGTCAGATACACCTTTATGATGGCCCTTCCTGTACGTATCTAGGTCATATATTTGTTGTAAGGTGTGAAAACTACATTATGCAGAGACGTTTCCAATGAGTTTCTGCCAGATGCTGAAAGTAACATGCAGCCAGTCCACTTTTAGGGTCTTGCTTCTGGCAAGTTGACGTGTTCAAAGTGTCATCCGCAGTGCACTGCAATACTATTGTTATTGTTGTTCTGGAGTGTCTCGGACATTCTTATTACCTCAACAAAATGATATTCAAATCTGTGGTATTGGAAGAAGTATAAAAGCTGCAATGGCACCAGATCGAGATTTGAATACACTCTCCTTTTTATGGAATGCAGCATTTCATTTGTTTGACGGTGGTCAGAAGTATGAGGACCCCATAACTGTTAACATGCCACGCCAAAACCATAAACCTGTCTGCAGCCTTAACCGCCTCTGCTCATCTAGGAAGTCCACAGGGTTGTTTCCATTCAGTCAAGTATGTTCGTGAGGTTGAATGCTAATTAAAGGTGATCAGGTCCAGCTCTCATTTCACTTTTAGTGTAGTGTGGATCTTTGCCAGTTACAAAGTCAAGTTCATTCCTACCAAAACTATTTCTTTGTGGCTCTCCAGTTGTGCACTGGGACATCAGAATGTTGACACTTCAAATGGGATTATCATAATGGTTTTAATTTTACACTTCTTTGACTCTGGAGTCAAAAGCACCAGATCCAAAGTACACGTGAATGAGGTGTCCATATACTTTTGGCCAGAAACTGGACCTTAGACAAACTGCGGACCTAGTCGATCAGGCTGGCCTTCAATTGAAAAATGTCTAAGGGGAAACTTATCACAATTAAAGTTTTACAAGTTGTGTCCATATGGTGATGAGCTGATCTACAGCAATGGATTTGGATTGACTTTCTCTTTTTAAGGGGAAAGTTGGATTGCACCAAAGCTTAATTATTTTCCACCTTTCTAGGCAGGATGGAAACGTCTGGCTCAACGATACGGCACTAAAATCCATCAGGGCGGAGGGTAAAGTTACCTCTCTAACGGTGCCCCCAGCTGTAGAAAACAAGCTAACACTTCAGTACGGAGGCTATGTTCAGTCATGGACTTTAAGATTCACCCCGCGTAAGCATCTCTTTACTTGGAATTATGTTTTTATCCTCTAATCTGTAATTACATTTTAAATTAATTGTGCTCATGTAAGGAACGAAGGACACTGAAGTCAGAGGCCAGCAGAAACCCGTAGAGCAACCAACCAGTGCAACTAAGGTAAATCTGGTAGAACAAATCCAATTGCTGATGCAGTCCATCTCTTTGCCAACTATGACGATCCCTTGTTCTCTCTTCAGGGCTTCCTGGACTCGATGAGTCCCAATGAGGTGTTTGCATGTGAAAATGGAACAGTATTCTTTCATCAGGATGAAGACTTCTTCCTTGCAGTTGGTGAGATGATTTGAGTTTAAAGTGTAGCCCTTTTTTTTACCTTGCACAAGTCTGATGGTCTTGAGATGGGTATTGATCCTCTCTTCAAACTCTTATTTGGGCTTAGTTCCCAAAATGTCAATGTTTGCAATGCTTTTTAATCCGCCTGTCCAAAAGACGATATTGAATCACCTTGACCAGACTGATGCTGGACAACTATGTCCTCAAATGATAGATTACCTTTTCTTTAGTGCTGCACTCATTATGTCAACATGTTGACTGCAATGAATTTTGTTCACTTTAAACTAATTTTTATTTGTATGACGGAAACTGATTTTTGCTCATCCTAGGCCACACCAAGAGACTCCCTGTTGCGCTGGAGTCCAGGTCTCCATCCATGTTGCTGGTGTCTTGGGGGGAGAACCGGCCTGCATTCAGCAGCAGCCACATGGTGACCCTGTACTACATTGAACTGGGCTCCTTTAACGCTCTCGGCACGGATACCATCATCAACACAACCAACAACCACTACCGCTTCACAGCTCTGAATGCCTGCAGTGCCTATGTACCCTGTGTGGAGACTGGAGGCAGTCACTCCCTCATCTGCATCGCTACTATTACCGGTACAGTCTCATGTTTGGAAAGATGCACAGACATTCATAATTAATAGGTGAAAATAAAATGCATTTTTAAATTTTCATAATCAATACTGAGAATATGTATATTTGTAATTTCACACCCACTTGTGTGTCTTGAAACAATCCCCAAGCGTCTTGCCGTGCGTAGTGATTTGCGACAACTGTTTTGTGTTGAGTAACTATGTGAACGGCTGCATAGTTTCACGAGTAGCTCATTTTAAACCAGTAAAAAGCTAAATCCCTGTCTGAAGGTAAGTTGGTTAGTTCCTGGTTTTTCGACCAATGTGTTTCATATCTTATGCTATCCACTTGCACAGATTTCCTACGTTCAGTCAAAGCCAGCTCAGAGTTGACTGGCCAAAAACTAATTATTAACAAACTAATAATTATTTAGAGGTGAATGCTAATTCATTTGCTGGATGCTGCAACTGTTATTTTACCAAACTTACAAGTGATATTATCTAAGCGTGCTCACAGCTTGTTTACAATTCTCTCAAGTGATCATAAATCGGTTAATTCTGCTTCAAAATGCCTTCTCACAGACCCAGACATTCCCCACGACTTTGCGGTGAAGTCATGGAACAGCCACAGCCTATCTTTGGCCTGGGACTGCCCGGAGAAGTTCTCATTCTTCCTCCTCACCGCCTTCTACCTCAATGGTGTGGACCACATCACAGAGGAGGTGCTTTTTTTGGTCCAGGACAACTTTGAGTTTGTCTTGTCTGACCTGGAGCCCTGCACAAAGGTTAAATTTGGCTTGCAGACAGTTTGTCAGGCGGGGGTCGAGTCCCGCTACAGCAAGATGGTCCTGAACGATGGGAACTCTGGTAAGCCCTATAGCGGTTTGATGAACTTACAATGTGGGTCATTTTTTGTTTTTTCTCTCCTTATAAAGGCTACTGCTCCGTTCAGTACAGACTGAGGTTTTTAAAAGTACAATTTTTCTTTGTGTAAATGCTTATGGTGACCACCTTAACATCTAAAATGTTAGTTTATATTGCCAACTACACTGCTCAAGTTAAAGGAACAATCTTTTATCAGGGTATGCCATGAATTAAATTGATCTGGTCAGGTAGGTAGCAGAGGGGGTTGTTAATCAGTTTCTGCTGCATTGGTGTTGATTTGAGATCTGAAAGGGCATCCCACAAGACCCCATCCATCGTCTCATTAGGAGCATGTCGCAACGGTGCCAAGCATCCATTCAAACGCATGGGAGCCACAGAAGATGTTGAAGCATTTTGAGCTCCATAAATTGAATTTTGGAAGAATGGACTAGCCTGCCACAAAATCGTTTCACTTTAATTTCCATGGTGTTTATGAAATTAAGCCTTCTGTAGGCTAAAATTTGTATTTCTATCGAAATATGTCAGTCTTTCCTTCCTAAGACATTAAACGTATCCACATAATTGTTTCACATTGAGTTCAGATGTGTTTTCAAAGTGTTCCTTATTCTGAGCGGTGTATTATTACTGTCTTCTGCAGACTACTGTTGTGCTACACTATTTTGTAGCATTTAACAAATGTCACCTGAGATGGAAGTGGGTGCGCAACAGAAGTTTCACAGGCTCATTTTAAATAGCTGCCAGTTAAAGGCGTTGAAGCTGTAAATGTGGTGTGTGTGCCACTTGTATATTTCAGAGAACAAGCAGCTTTTGTGAAACCCAGAAATCATTTTGATCTTCATCTTGAATATAATGTATTGATTTAACATAATCCCCTCTCCAAACTTCAGCTGACTCCAGCATCGGAGCATTACGTCAGACATCGTTCGGTCCCGACAATTACACCATAAGCTGGGAGGTGAGGAACACTTCGTCCATCTCGATGTTCAGAGTCTACCATGAGGAGGTGCTGCAGGGTCCCACGCTCATCACCAGTGCCACTGTGGGCGGGCTGCTGCCATGCAAACAGTACCAAGCAAAGGTGGAGGCGCTGTGTGGAGACGACTTGCTCATGAGCTCCAAGGTGGTTACCGCACATACAGGTAATGCAGGAACGGATGAGATAGTGTAATTATCTGCACAAAGAAAGCTAGATAAAGTGTGTGGCTTTGCTAATTTGTGCCAACAGCCGTGGTTCTGCAACTCACTTTGTCCGTGCTGCAAAGTTAGTTAAGTAAATTTGATTGTTGCAGGCAACGCAAGGTTTTCTCTTGGCCCACATCCTTTACTTTGTGGCTGTTGATTCCTCACAGTGGGGTGCAGATCTTTAGCATGCATCCTCTCCAGCAGAAAACATCCTTATTGATTGACAGGTCATTGTTCAGTCAGTTTTTCTTTTCTTCCAGCTAAAGGTAAATTATAACGCAACATAATTAGCATTTTGGCTATAGGGGTCAGGAGTGAATTTAGTTACTCCTCCCCATTTTCATTTTAGCTCTTATTGGAGTAACTATTTAATTTCGCAACTTTTATTAATAGTTTGACGTTAAATTGTATTTTTCCAGAACAAAAACATGATCACTGTTCACGTATGGCCCAATAATGTTTGTAATCCAGGACCTCGCGGCGTGTCTGAGCTCAGATATCGCTCCAACGACTCCACCGCCTTGTGGATGCCACGCACCCACCAGCCAGCTGTGGCCTTTTTATACGAGCTGTCTGTGGAAAACGGCCCCACCATGCAGAGCAGCCGTGTGACTGACCCTGAGGTGCATCTCCCAGGGCTGGAGAAGGGGAAGACGTACCTCCTCGACGTGTGGGAGGAGTGTGGGGGACAATGGAAGTCAGAACGTTCACACCTGGATTTTGAGACACCCAATTCCTCTTTTGGGCTCCAGATCAGGGCTGCTGGACATGTTCTGGATGAAGGTCAGTCTGAGGTCCCTTTGGTATAACACAACGTTTTTGGTTTGCGATATCGTGTTTGATTTGTAAGCTTTCGTTATGAACATAACTGTTTTCCATTCGTGTGACTTCTGTAGGACTGCAGTTTAATTTATCCTTTCTGGATCTCACAATGATTGTCCCCTGGTCCATGCCTGCGGATCTACTGGATGACATGTCTGAACCAAGAGCTAAAATGGAAAAGATTTACAAAGATAAGGTGATATGAAAAAAGGGTTGGCAGGTCCAGTACTATTTCCTGACCAGTAGAGGCCGCTACAAATCATGGCTGTGTTTTTTGTGCTAATTTAATTTTTTTTTTTTTTTTTAACTGATTTTCCATGAATAGATTTTTATAAGAGAATTATTGGCTTGTGTTTTGTATGCGTTTTTAGGTATCGTTTAAAATCTGTTAAACCTGAAAAGAACCTTCACAAATCCAAACTACTTTTGATGTGTTTGGTTCATTCAGCTGCATGAGCTCTTGAAAGACTTCAGTCAACCAGTTCGCATTGAGCTGGCTTCCTTTGAGCCAGCAGACGATCCAGATAAAACAGAGGTTCTGTTTATGTCTTTTGATGCATCCGAAACTGAAAGGGACGTGCCCCTGTCTGTTGGGGATCTGCTGGATTACATTCAATCCCTGAAGACTGATGACGTGACTGTCACAGATGGGGTCATTCACTGGAATGGTAGGTGATGACTGACCAGCTCGACTGGTTAAAGTCTGATGGACTTCAAACATTGGCTCTTTAATCTTATTTTCCTCAATTGTTGGTCAGGTCCAGATCTGTGTGCTTCCTCCAAGCGACCTTTGTGTCCTCGTAACTCTCTGTGCATCAACACTCTGGGCTCCTACACCTGTGTGTGTCAACATGGCTACTACGACGTGACCTCCATCATGGAGCCTCCTGTGGCTTCACATCCAGTTTGCAACGGTAAGCTTTTAAAAAAATAAAAAGAATTAAACATTGCATAGCTTATCCACTGAAATAAAAAATAAATTCTGTTTGTATTCACATTCAGTAAAAGAAGTTCTACCCTGTACATTTGGTCCCCAGTAATCGGATACCGTGACTTTATTAGGAGGGCTGCAAAAACTCAAATCAGGCTGACTGGTTTGACTACTGTCAAATCAAGCAAATACGTAAATGTTGCTTTTTGACATCTTAATCTTTTTAGTGCTAATGGCTGTTTCGTCCATTAATCCAAGGTAATAAGGGTTCTCTAATTTGAAATAATAATTTTTATTGTGTGTTCTGGTGTCCTATGCCTTTTTTTTACTTTCACCGTAGCAGTCCAGAGATGACAAGAAAATAAGTTTAACAGAGTCTCATGCTGATCAGTTCAGATTGTGACTCTTATGGTCTTAATGATGTGTAGCAAAGGTCCTCAGAAGGATGTTAACACAAATGGTCAGTAATGTATTCATTAGACCACCCTGAAATAATGGAACCATGTTCCAACCTCTGAATCATTTTGGTTCTTCCCTTCCACCACCAAGACTGGTAGTTGAAGTAGAATTGTTCATCTGCTAAGAGATGAAAATTTTGTTTGGAAGTGAGCGAAAGCCCCCATAAACAATTCTATAGACGCCAGAAAAGATACTATAGGAACTGCTTCCACTGTGACATTTGCATTCAGTTAAATTTCTGATGTTGCTTTTTAAAAAGAACAAACTTCTGTATTATCGTTGCCTTAAATGTGTGATTCTTTGCCTCTGACAGAAAAAGGCCTTTTCAGCCAGTGTGGACCACGCCATCAAATGGTGGCTGGAATAGCGAAGCCTTACCTGACTTCTTACATCGGGGGAGAGGTTGACGTGAGGTTGAACGACGGCCGGTGCACTGTAAATCAGAGTGACGTGTTCTACTACTTCCGCAGCTCACTGAACGCTTCCGAATGTGGAACACAAAGGCGGGTGAGTGACTGATTCTGTGCAGGAAAACACTTATTACTTGACCTAATTATAGCATAAATGCAGATAAAATGAGAGACCTTAAGAAGCCATTGATTTTCCCAAAAAGCTTATTTATTCTTATGTATAGTTACTGAGGTTGAGGAAACTACATGTTTGATAAACTGCAGCGAGTGAGAAATCCGGACAATATAAAGCAGAAATATTTCAAGTGGTCACTGTAATTAAGATGGGTTTTCAAACTGAATGACTCATTAAAATTATTCTCGAGGCAGAAATATCTTCGGTAGCTTCTCCAGTATCTCCCGATTGTCAACCTGTAACAAGATATCTAAATTATAAAGTGCTCAAAGTGGAAAGTACCTGCTGCCCCTAGGAGCAGAGTGTCTTATAACTCTGTATTCAAACCTCCTTTAGAAGTCTGTTTATCAGGTGTGTCTGGTTGTGTCCAGGTGAACACAACTCACATCGTCCTGCAAAACACTCTGACTGTGACCATGACCAGAGAGCACACCACCACCAGGCGGGATCTAAAAGTAGTTTGGAAGTGTGTTTACCCACGGCATTATATTCGCAATGCTCAAGTCGGTGTGGACATGGAGTGGTGAGACAAACTTCTTCATATTCTGTCTCTTTGCTGGAATTTAAAGAACAACGTTGTGTACAACTCAACCGATTTTGGCCGAGATTGACTCTAGCTCCCCCAACCCTGTAAAAAGGATAAGCGGCGTAGGAGATGACATGATGAAACAATGGGAACACCTCCTTGCTGTCGTTATAGGCTCACCTCCATCTCCCTGGTGGCGTTCAACTCTTCACTGCAGCTGGGCCTGACCATGACCCTGCACACCGATGAGTCCTTCACTTCCAGCTACAGGGATGTAGTAACCATGGAGCTTGAAGACACCCTGTTCTTCCAGGTCACCCTGCAGAGCAACAACTCTTTTGCTGCAGATGTGCTTCTGCAGGTGGAGTCTTGCTGGGCCACTGAGAGCACCGACCCGCATGATGCAGTCCAGGCTATTCTTCTTGAGCATAGGTAGGTAGAAATGTTGCACTAAAGATCTGTGTTAAAGGGAAAAAAAAAAAAAAAAACTTTAAATATACTATTGATTTTTCATGTAGTTAATTCACACAAGATTGTGGTTAGTTCAGTTAGACTATTTATTGATAGAGGTAATTTTATATATTGATGGTATTGTCATATCAGGATTGTAGATTCTGGGCATCTCTGCTCAGTGAGAATTTATATAATAGCATTTCTAACTGTAGTACATAATAATTCGTATTCATTGTTTGCAGCTGTGCTGTGGACTACACGTTCCGCTGGCTCTCTGTTAACGGCCTTGCGCAGATGAGCAGATTTTCCATTCAAATGTTCACCATGCCCAAAGGGCTGCCCCTCTACGTTCACTGCCAGGCCAACATATGCGGACAAGTCGAGGACTGTTCAAAGGTAAACTGAAGGGTCTGAAGTAGACCGGCCAATGTTGACATGGTTTCATCTGTTTGTTACCGGTCCATTCACGCTGCTGTTCTATGTAGTCTAACGTTCACCTTCCTCAGCCTATAATGTTGCCTGATACTGGTGTTGCTATTTAAATGAGTCTTTAGGTTACTTTTAGTTTTATTGTACCGAAGAAAATTGGTCTTGGAGATGTACAGTGTCAGCGGTTTAGAAAATCCAAAATAACATACAGTACATCCAGACTGTCGTCAGCCAGCAGATTTCACACTTCTTTTCAACAGGGCAGCTGCAGATGCACATCTGTGTAAATCTCTCATAATTAAAGCCTCCAGCCAAAATGCTACAGCCTCTGGCACTAACTACAATTTGGAGACTTTTCTTTCCTGACTTTGATCAGTGTTGGCGATACTGTGATGTGAAATAATCAACGGAGTCTTATTTTGCCTTAGAATTGTACCAACCACCACCGCCCCAAGAGGTCAGTGAGCCAGACGGGCAGAGAGGGGAAAAAGGCCGCTGTTGTGTCTGCTGGACCTGTGGTGGTCATCAACCGGAAGAGGACGACAGGAGTCCCATCTGACTGTCAGTTCATCATCCTGCCTTTGTAGTTATACTTCATATTTGGACGTTCTAATGCTATTTCGTAAAAACAATGTACTGTATCTTTTTGACAAGTTGGAATGAGTTTTTCACTCACTTGAAATAATGGATATGCATGAAGTTCTTTGGGATTGTTTTTCGGTATGGTAAGTCTTGGCGTTCAGTGTGAGGTGCATTCATGAACTGTGGTTACAGTTAACTGACCTGTGTGCCTCTCCTTGCAGGGACGGAGCACATGACTATGATCTCTATTGTGGCCGGATCAATAGGCTTTTTGGGAGGAGCCGTACTCTTAGTGAGTGCAACCAAAGCTGTCATGTCATACTATGAGCGTCTTCAGCTGCAATAAAGTGTTTGGATCCCCATTTGTGAGAGAGTTGTGCGAATCATGAAGATGCTGAACAGTATTTCTATTTAGACAGAAATGATGGTTTAGTTTTTAAAGATGAAACGATTTGAAAGCGGGAACCCTGGTTACATGAGAACTATTCCAGAATGGAGAAGCGAAACTTTCAGTGCATTTCAAGTCTGTATACTAGTGGTGTTCTTAGGCTCGATGGAGAACATAGGCCCACGTGTTCAGACTTGAGAGGTGTTCTTTCTATTATGCTCCATGTTGACTAAAACCAAGTTAACTGTACACGTAGAACCCATTTGTTCAATTAACGGCTCAGTGTCTCAACCTCACAGTTCATTATCATCCTGCAATAATCTAATCAGCTAGCTACAAAAAAAAGTTAACGAAAGCCTCGTGAGTGGCATGAATTTCCCATCTGCAGCTGATTTCCCTCTCAATGATTGGATCTTGTATTGTGAATGCAGTGCTATTATAAAGATTCAAATTCTGGAATAAATAACTGAAATATCTAGATTGAGTAAATACGAAAATTAATGTATTCATAAATAAATGGTTATCAAACTGGTCATAAACTAATGCGTATTATGTTTATTTCTACATTTCTTTAATGTGTGGTAGGTTAATAAGGTGGGCGGACCTAACCTCTGTATGAAGCAGGATTAGTCCGCGGAGTGTGATCGATCCTGGTCTATTTCTGTCTTAATCAGGAAACATTTATTGCCAAAATATGTCAAACATACAAGGAATTTGTCTTGGCGGTTGGTGCGTGACAGTAGACAGAGTAACTATAGACAACAAGACAGCAGTGCACAAGTAATAAAATGAAATGCAATGGGTTAATAAGGGTCTAACGATTCATCCACTGAATCAATTAATCGATTTATATTCCTGCGATCCAACTGAATCGATCTGTGCTTAGCAAATCTGCCCAGTGAGCACTTAGGGGTTAGGTGTCTTGCTCAGGGACACGGGGCAGCCGGGACTCGAACCACCAACCTTGTGGTTCCCAGCACACCCCCTCTACCCCCAGCTGCGCCACAACGACCTCATAACTTTGTAGTTTAGTGAGCGTGGAGTCGGATTCACTAAACAGCGCCGTTTTTTTCCTTAATCCTCATGAATTCTCCTATGGAGATTTTGCACTATTCCAATCCAGACAATAGACACACAGTTAAAAGGCTTTTATTCACCACTTGTAATAAGGATTTCATGTTCTTATTGCCCATGATGGTCCAATCCGAGACCAGTGGTACACTAGTGAGCCATGTTACACATTGTCCTCTTCTTTGCCTGGTTTTCATTATGTTTTTGTCTTTCCTAAGAGGCTCACTCAGATAAAAATCTACCTTTAATTTTTTACCAACCATGACAATAGTTGCTTTAATTCCTTTTGACATCCCATGATACAGGGATAGTCTATATTCATAGCTATTTTGGCCATTTAATCCATTACCTTTTTTTGTAGAAATGAAATGCCTCTGAAATTAATTAAATTGTTTTTTATCTCCTTAGCAGGTGATCCTTAAATACTGATATTATTGCCACATAAAATAAGCTGTTAGTGCAGCTTAACTAATGCAATTATAGCAGCACACCACTGTGGTAAAATGAGCAAGCGTTTCTTGTTGGTTTCCTGCATGGTTTTGGTCTGTGGCTAGTGGCTCCAACAGCAGGCTGCACTTTTTCAATGTGCAGCCCTTATAGCACTGGCTAACACATCCATGTCCTTCAGGTGTTCTATTCATAGCAGAAGACATTGGGATATAAGTGGCCAACTGCATACGCTGCGATGAAGGTGGCGATGAGGCCAATGGGTCGGGCCACCAGAATAGTCACATAGTTGATAGGGTTTGTGGGGGCGGGGTCCCAGTCCGGAGTCCAGTTGTAGCCTGTAAATATCAATGAAGTGGGCTCAGTATTTTTACTGAGCACGGCTCTGTAGAATGAGTTACTCACTTGCAACATGTTTAAACTCGTATGCACCGTCACTTACTTTTCTGTGAATCGCGTTCCTGGTTACCTGCAAACACAAAATGACAAACGGCTGAAATAAAAACCTTAAGTGGATATATTTTACATCAAATTAATTTAAGGTCATTCTCTGTATGAATGTTGACATGGAGAAGCTCATTTTTTTGTCTCGGCTTCCTTTTTAATTTGGTTTCTTTTTCTTTAAAATGATTGCATTTTAATATTCCCAAAGGTCATGAAAAGCCAAATACCATAATCTGTTTTGGATGAAAACTGGCAATGTTGAAATTTCAGGGATCTGTGACCCTGAAAGTCAAACCCAAGAGTGCACAAAATACTCACCGCAGAGATTCCTTTCACAGGTGCCCTCACATCTGGAGCAGCCTGCTGCTCCAGATGTATATGGTTGCCTTCCGTTCACATTACCCCTGCACAAGGAACCATCATCAAAGATGAGACAAATTTAAATGTTGACAAGGCAGCTGATGGTTTTCCTAACCGTCTCACGTTTTTGGAGCCGTCCAGCCTTGTTATTGTTCCTCTTAAATATACATTTTTTAAAGTGATCAACTCTGATATCTGTATTTGTGGAGGGGTTTAACTCACGCTGTAGCATAGTTGCAGAGAAAAATGGCCCCCTCTTTAGACGCAAAGCTTGTGCCTTGGACCCCATTTGGGCACAGCTGGACGGCACAGCCAACCTTGAAGCTGCTTCCCCACACAACCTTGGGATGGGAAAGGGTTAAATTATGAATGCAGATGAAAAATAACAGTGAGCTGTTCCTCTTTGATCTCTGTTCTATTTTAAAAGTTGAGATGGTTCCTTGGGGTCTCAATGAAATGTCTAACATACTTTAGTCAAAATACCACAAGGATAATTTAAAACCGCACTCTTTTTACCCTGTCTAAAACAGCCCTCCACAGTGACCTGTTTTGAGTGCCTATTCCTTTAAATGCTAATGAGCCTCCTTTACGAGATGCGCTCGCCTAGTTGTTGCTCGCCTAGCTACCCATTACTTTTGAAGAAATATGGCTACTGCAGACAAAGATAGAATCTTGCAACCATATCGTTTTGAACCAGGCCATGTAAGAGAAACTCCCAGTTCATAGTGATGAGAGACTGACAAGGAAGCTCATTCGCAGTCAGCGTGACGTTTCTGACGTACAAGAACCATAACAAATCGCGGGAGTTGTTTTTGGGTCAGTAGACATGCCAGATAACCCAATTAACGTGTAGAAGCACTAAAAAAGTGGAATTTTCATAATATGTCCCCTTTAAATAAAAATGAAATCTAGCGCACAAAACAACCTACAAGCAATTTAGGAGTAGGAGCACACCTGTGTGTAGTGGCCACAGACTTTGGTGCAGATGTTGCTGCTGTAGTTGTAGAATTGTTTTTCATCCACCCAATTTTTAATGGCCCCCGTCACATGGAAGGATGATGGTGGGTACCCTGCCCATATGTTCTCTCCCACAGAGGAGAAGGTAGGATGCACACGGCGGACATCTTTGAGGTAGGAGTTGTGTTCATACACACAGTGCCTTGCCCAGGCCCTGGCTGTGATGGCTAGGGCTTCGTCCCATGTCTGCACGAATATTCAATGGAGAACAAACACATCATTTTCATTCCATTTTACTACGCACAACTAAATCTCTGAACTTATTTGTTTGGTATGGACTTTGTAACCAAAGTCTGGTTAAAATGTCATGTATTTTATGAATATGAAATAAGGTGATACATTTAAGATAAAGGTACAAAGATAAATACAGAGTTGTGTATTCTCAAAAGCTGTCATTTGTTTATGATACAGTGACAGAGTGGAAGGAATACAAATGGCCCCCGTGCCTACCATGTTCAGCATGTCACTTGCAGGTGGACTGACAGACGACCGCGCCTCGTTGTGTCCCCTCACACACTCCTTGATAAACTCCCCATCTGTAATTTCTGGCAGTGCGGCTGAATAATGTAGGATAGTCCAGGCCCACAGGAACGTCCTCACCGCGCTCTTCATGCTTCAAAGAATAAAACGCTGCCACTGTGGTTTGTGAAAGGCACTTTACAGTGAAACTGGAACAGGAAATTACACACTCAAAAGGGGAACAGGATGCAGGCGCTGCTTCTGAAAGGCAGTGAGAACGTGTTTTCTTTCACAACAAGGTTGAAAATGAGGGTTGAGCGCGGTGTAGTAAAGAACAGCGGTGACTATATTACTCATGGAATCTATCCTCAACGGCTGTAAGCCAGTTTTACCTGACTGCTTGTGTTACACACACACTGCAACAGGCTCCGTTCAGGTGTGTTTTATTCTGCAATGATAACAGACAGTCAGCAACAATCAAAACGACTGAGTCAGTCTCTGTGCAACATATGAACATACAAACCGGATACTGGCGGCGCAGTGGCGCTAAACATTAGCGCGCGAAAAACATCGGAATGCCAACTACTCTCGTTAATTCTCCTTTGCCGAAATAATACATTTAAATACTGGACACTAAAACAGGCAACCACCAAAAACAGGCGAACTTAACATGCCCACACATTTGCAAACAGGCATACATCTATGTACATTTGGTCACCTGCAATGTTAACAGACAGTCAGCAACAATCAGAACCAGTCTGTACTTCCCGACGCGGAGTCACTTGCTCTGTCCAAGTGTTACACTGCCCCACTGCCAATGCAGGGGGAAGGAGGCAGGCTCAAAAAGTCACACGAAGGGTTTCTTTACACAATAATCAAAACAAACACAATGACAGGGGAATGGCACTAAACAATGCAATTCAAACAAACAATGGAAGTCCTTAAAAATGTCCAAGGTGCCACACTTGGGATTTGTTTGCAGTATATTGGGCCTAAGTCAACTATTTTTAGTGTTCTACTACTACTATACAGATGGCGTTGTCCTCCTGATTCACTGTTGGTTCATCCGTTTGTCCCCAACTCTGGTCAAAACGTGTCAGATTGCCATTCCCTACAATCAGTCGGTTGTAGGTGGATCCCTGTCCATTTATGTTGAAAATCAAGCATTCAAAAGTCAGTGTGTGAGGATGTATTACATATGTTAACCTTACTTATTTGCAGCTGCTGTTTTTTTCTTCTGCTGCATTGCCTTGAGGGATATGAGTGTGCAACAGCCCACTGAGAATCTAGCTTTTTTTTGTAGTCAGAATCCTGAATGTTTTGAGGAAAGTTAACGTTGCCATTTATCTTGCATTTTGAACTGTGGGAAGGTTTCTTCTGTCCAACCGCACAGCAAGACATGGTTTGCTGTAGAACGGACAAATTCCTCACAAGCCCCAGAAAATGTTACTTAGTGGCCAGACAGTGGAATACAATATCCACATCTGCCCTGTGATGCCATCGGTGTCACAGGAGGTCAAGCCAGGACCCAATAGCAACCACAAGACCAGGGTCCCGTTCCTCGTACGTGGTGCAACAAAGTCAAGCTGTTACCCAGGGGTTTTGGGACATGGGATGTCACATGTGTACAGACTGTAAAGCCCTCTGAGGCAAGTTTGCGATTTGTGGGTGTAGAAAATAAAATGAATTAAATATTCACTGTTGCATCTGGAAGTGGTTCCAGAACCTGGAGACCAACGAAACAGATTCAGGTTGAGAATATTTTCAATATCGTAATACGGGTAAACGAATTGTTCATCGTGCTGTCAGATATATTTGATCATTTGATCATGGCTTATTAGTTTATCAAGACTCAGAAGATTTCATGTTCATGATGCATCTCAAATTCAGATGAAGTGAAGCCCACACAGATAAGGGGGTTCTGAGTCAAATGTTGGTGGTTAAAGACTGAACTAACTTCGCTCAAGGTGGGGCCACGCCTCATTGCCCTCAACGGACCAGCCGCCACTGATTATAACACAACTCTGATCATAAATAATGAAGCTCAATGCTGTTTTTGTACATTTCTGGCATTGTTTGCTGTTTGTCAACGAACTTGATGTTTTGATATGCAAGCGGTTGTACTCGTGGTGGTAGTCATCCCAGAGATCACCCCAATCCTGTTTTTAATCTTGATGGAAAAAACCGTGATGCATCCTGGTTAGTACTGTGTTAAAGAAGAAGCTTCTAAAGTAACTCTTTGAAATACTATAAGCAAATTTGTTCATCAAATCCTTTTTTTCTAAAGAAAGCGAAGACTTGTATCCACAGCATTGTGAGTGCTGGAGAACTTCTAGCTGTATCCATTATCAGAATGATAATGATATGTATTTATTTCTTTAAGAGGCAGTATGTCAGAGACAAGCGGCATAAAAAAGCACAGATCTGCTCACGCAAAAGGGCTTTTCTGTCTTTGTTACAAGTCTGAAATATTAAGTTTAGGATCATCAGACCAAGCTTCTCCTCCAGTTATTATAGTGACGCCACCAGTGCTATGCCGAATGTCCGCTCAATAAAAGGTGGAGTGCTGAGAAAAAAATATGCTGGGTGCAACACCTTTTCTCTCGGCAGCCAAATTTGAGCTAAAAAAAGGCAATGGCATCGAGAAAAAGGCGCCATGTGACACAAGCTCTGAAACAGCAACCCACAGATTGACTGATTATTCTGCCTCTCGTTTCCTCAGTGTCTGCTATGATTTTGGATGTGTTATTCTGTCCCGTGTTGTCTCCATGGACTCTTACCTCTATGTAGGCGTGCTCCCGCTCAGGTCTCTTTGTGGGGAACGTCAGATCCAAGAAGTCCACCAGGTAGTGACTGCCGTCAGCATGGGGCTCAAAGCTGTCATCTGTCTCAATCATTGATCTCGGCCAAATGACTCGCATAGATTAACGCGTTAATGTTGACAGGCCGAGAAAAAAGTGATGAGGAAACCGAGCAGAGCGCTGTAAATCTTAGTGTAACTTGATTTCAACCCCCCATGTGGCGTCGTGGCCCTGCTAGCCTGGCTCGCTCCACCACTTCAGAATGTTCAACAGTTCAACAATCATTAAATTCAAGATTTCTACAGCATGGTGTTTATGCAAGAACTATAGTTACTGTTCTTCTAAGCTTTATTGTTGGAATGCTGTTTAAACAAAATGTCTTCTATTTTTCTTTCTATTTCTTCTGTACATATTTTGAACTGATTCTCCTCTATCTATGTATCTATCTTGATATCAAGATAGATACATAGATAGATATGTATATATATTTGTACAAGAGTATACTCTTGTACTGAGGTGCTGATTGAGGTGCTGACGCGCTGTTCTGCCACCCCCTCAATTACCTGCGTGTTCACGTCTGATTGCAGACATAATCCACCGACACGTTCACTTTGCTATTGATCTCAGTTTATTTGTTTGTGTACAGATACTCTTTTGTTTACAGTGGAACAAACTCACTCTTACCATGACAGCCGACAAAACCCTTTCACTCTCTGGGTCCGACACCTGATGTCAATAATGACCTAATCGCTTATATAGGTGAGCACAAGACCCAGGACCAGCGCCACCCAGTGTAGATGTAGAGTAAATACATTTCATGGAAACGTTTAACCTATACAGTAGTACTAGTAATATCAGCTGTAGTACCAAAACTATAAGTCATAATAGTATTCGTAGAATCAGTAATAGTTGTAGTATTAATAGCAGTAGAAATACTAGTAGTACTTTTTTATAGTAGTTAATATCAGTTGCAGTCACTACTACTGGTAGTAATAGTATTTTTAGAACTACTATTAGTAGTAGTAGTAAGAGTTATTTTAATATTAATAGCAGTTGAAATACTAGTAGTAGTGTTAGTGATAGTAGTAGAAGTATTGGATGTAGTACTACTAATAGTACTAGTAATATTAATAGTAGTAGTTGAAAGAACAATAAGTATTAATATCAATAACAATATTATGGAATTGTGTGAGTGGGACATGGGGGTTAGAAGACATAATGTTTACCCTTCAAACTAAGAAGGACTAACTTATTCGTTGGACAAGTTATTCGTTGATAGGCCTCATCAGAAACATTACAGTAAGAATGCCCTCCATGGGGGTTTTATTTTGAAAGGATGGGGCTGGGTGGAGGAGAGGAGGCGGGCAGAGTGAGAAAAATAGAGGTAGAGAAAGGGAGAGAGAGGGAGACGGGGAAAAGTGGTGGGGGGGGGACTTTACTTGCTATGGTTTTACCTGCTCTGGCCATTACTCCCACATAAATTGGGGAAAATGTTTTCATATGCTGCTTACACACCGGTGCTAACGTGGCAATTTAGCAGTGAAGAAAAAAATCCGATAAATCACTGCTGCCATGCATGCATCAGTTTATGCATGTGCACTCTTATGCTATCTGGGAATCAATACAGAATACCACATTTTACACACGCTCTCTCACAGTCCTCACACGCCCTCTTGTTTCCTACACATTTCATAATTCACTTAACAAAGATTGCCATCCCCACTATTCATGTTCTTATTGTATAGTTACCATAGTTTAAAGTGATCCATATCTCTATTGATAAAACGGTCACTTTTGCATGATCAAACAAGTCCGCTTGGAGCTTTTATTCTGAAAATACTCACCCCGGAAATATTGGTAGCGTTATTGCAGAGACTCGGGAGCACAGCTGTTTGGAGCAGACCAGCAGGGTGTTTTCTCTTTACGTTCGTCTCCCCGCTCACCGGCCACATCGTATAGCGGCCTCACATTGCGTCGTTGCTGTTGTCCTCTCCATTGTCCGGGGTCGTCCTGTAAGCCGCAGGATGGTTTTGACAACATCACAACAAGTCGCCCTGGCGTTCACGGCCGTGCTGTTCACGTTCGTCGCCGTGCCCCGGATGTTCGGCGTCGGGACCGGGGCGAAGGAGACGAGAGTTGACCCCCGCTACACCAAAAAAGGTAGGGAAGCCGCCCTTTGTTGCAGAGGAAAAGGACACACGGCGAAAAGGGAACACGTCTGTAACCTACATGATACTCAACATGCTAAGATCCCGTCAGAAGACGCGGCTCGCGGTCGAGTCGCGAGGCTCCGTGCCGCACGTCAACGTGTGATGGTGCGTTAAGGTGCATCCACGAAACGTCCGACGCACAGTTAAGGACACGCTTCAAGTGATGCGCGCCTTCTCTTTTAAGGTGTTTGATTTCAGCAAACCTGAAGTGTTATATTTGAGTGATCTGTGCACCTTGTATTCTCTCACTGGGAACATCACAGAGGCAGCCGCACTTCGTGTGAAGGAATACCATGTGGGTCATCGGATAGCATGGTGTCACCCTTTTAGGGCCAGGATGGATGTCGAACGATCAGACTGACCCCCCCAATCGGCATAGGGCCACCGAAGTTAGCTGTGTGGGACAATAGCTGGACCGCATCCTACTTTTAAGGTTGCACATACGTGCACGCACATCTTTCTGCTCAAAACGAAACAAAAGCGCACTCATCGCCAAAATTATTATTTTTTAAAACAAAAAAACCCAGGATATCTTCAACTTGCATTCTCATTTGTTTTAACAAACCAACTCAAATTGAATAAATAAATGAATAACAGGCAAAAACAGACAAAACAAGGCCATATTGTACTATCATCAATAATGTTACAGTTCGAGGGTGTTGTTACTATAACGAAGACATTTGTGAGTCGTCTGAAAACATCCTGCTAGCAAGATTCCGCACCAAATTTTGTAAATAAGTTTAATCATTGTTGTGCATAAAAACTGTGTGACTTACATACTTACTGTTTTCTGACAGAGTTAAAGCATTACTCCTGTTCTATGAGACACTCACTGAGCTATCTGTAGCAGCAGGCGCGGTGAGGGGTCAGCCGGTCAAACCGAACGCCCCCGGTTCGTCCCAGACCGCGGAGAACATGCAGCAGATGAAGAAGCTGATGGAGCAAGACCTGAAGGGTGACAAGTACAAGCCCAACAGCAGCAAGGGCTACGTGTTCACGCTGATGCCCCTTTACGCCGTCGGCGTCGGAGTGTTTGCAGCCTACAAGTTCTTGAAGGTAAAGTAACGACACGTACATTTAGGCAAGTTACAACTTTGAAAAGTGCAGAATGTATATATGATACACCCCTCCCCCCTCCCCTCCAGATGAAGTCTGCAGGTGACAAGGCACAGAAGGAGAAATTGACAAAGGGAGCCAAAAAGTCCGTGGAAGCAGGTGTGTAATCGCATGCATTGTGCTGTTTGCATATGGTGTTTTTTGTTTGTTTTTATGTTAAACATACATTTGGTTACGGTCAGTGATTCTGATATGGGGTTTCCTCTCTCACGTGCGTGTTCTTTTTTGCCTGCAGAGAACCAGTTGAACGAGCTGGAACAAAGGCTCGCGCAGACGGAGAGGATGCTCAATTCCATCCTCACGCAGCTGGACCCGCTGACCAACTGGTGAGTGATAATCGTGTTAGTTTGCATGCGCTTTGGTCTCCACCACACCTGGTGTACCATTGTGGTTTAGAAACATGATCCCCACTTTATTGTCCTCTTTCCTTCTGGCGTGCATGCAGAACTGGCAGGATTTAAAAATACTACCTTCTCCTGCTTTCAGAATTTGGGACCTTTGTCGGAAGAACAAACGTTATGTTAACACAAAGCACTACGCATACAGTTTTTTTCCTCGTATATACAGGATGTCAAACTAAGTCCTGTAGTGAAAACACATTGAGAAAATTAAAATTAAGAACCCGAAGTCAACAGATTACAGTGTAAAGGTGAACCACCGCAGAAGACTATGAAATGAAGGAACATTACTGTTTGCTTTCATTTTCAAATAGAAAGCAAGAGCATCATGTCCATGTACTCAGTGCTTAGAGGCCTTCAACCTCTCCAGGGTGTCGGACCCTGGCTAAAGTTGGTTGATGCTGCGCTATGATTGGCCAACTTGTTTTCAAGATGCACGGGTCAACGTGGCGCAGGGGTAAGGGGTGCGGCGGGAACCGCAAGGTTGGTGCTTCAAGCCCCGGCTGCTCCATGTCTCAAGTCGAAGTGTCCCTGAGCAAGACACCTAACCGCTAATTGCTCCCTGGGCAAAAATGTAAAAAGCTATGCATTAAAAATGTAATCTAAATTGTTTTGGATTAAAGCATCAGCTAATTGACCTGCAATGCAGGACTTTTTTAGACTTGTGTCGAAGGATGAAAGCTCCCAACTCCCTCCCCTTGTAATCCAGTTTGTCTCCCACTCAACTCAAGGGAAGTGTTTCACGCTCCTCTGCGATTTACACGATTTCTTTTTTTTTAGTGTGAAGTCTGTGGCCCAGGAGCAAAAGAACGAGATCATGTCTCAACTCCAGACCATCCGGTACCTGATGAAGAAGCGAGGAATGGACTGCCCCCCTGTAAATGGTGGGCATAGCAACTGTCCATTTACTCAAGAATTACTGTTCATGCCACTACTATGTCTAGGAATCCAAAGCTCCAAGTTAGCCTACACACACACACACACACACACACACACACACACACACACACACACACACACACACACACACACACACACACACACATACATAGTATGCTAACTCGTTTTTCAGATGAAGGCAGGCTAGAGAACAGGACCTAAAACGTACAGCCGTGCTCATCGCTGCGGTCACGGAGGGTGTTGGCGTGTTTGGTTGTGACCTTTTTCAAATTCTAGTTGAGCAGCTGCATTGACACACATCGCTTAAAGATGTTTTGAATGTGATTTAACTGTCACTTATGTGGTAGCTGTGTTAATTGCACAGAGATCGGAACAGATCGTCTGCACGGGCCATTCACTTCTTACATTTAATACAGGCGGTTTCTCAGTGCAGTTTCTCTGTACTTTTACTTTATCAAAGGCTCATATTCCAGTATTCCAATTGTATACAGTATGGATGGTCATTGATACTTTCAGAAGACATTCATGCAAAACAGATACAAAAGAAAATCAGATCAATAATTATAGTGTACACGTAAACTGATATTGTCTCGAATACATCCACAGCAGTACAATGCAGTGGTGTAGTTTAAGTGATCGCGGGTATACCCACTAGGAAAAGTCCCGGATTTCTGTATCCACACTAACAAAAGTGCGATGATAAGAAACACCAGCGTTGTGACAGAACCTTCTAACTTTCATTCATAAATTCACCCAGTCTGTGTGGTGAAGCACTGACATTTGGGTCTTTGGGGCTTCCGTGCCCTCGATCTGACGCAACGTCGTTACTGAGCGACAACAAGTTGTTTTGCCGGTCATTCTTTGCCCGGTCTTTCCTTTATCGCAACTAGATAGTCAGTCAGAGCCATTCTCTATCAGAGAGTTTGTCCAAAGTTTAAAAGTAACAAGATGTGAAGCGTAAACAGACTCAAAAAACCTTCTAATCACAAGTCTGCCCCTGAAGCTGCTGCCGCTTGGGGTGACAGATCAGATAATATGACCCGATGGTTAACGTCACCGTTACAGAAAACCAGCCCGAAACTTTTACCACAGCGTTACTGTCACCTGGTAAGTGAGAGTAGCTTGATGTTTGTGTGCCTGTGTGACGTCACAGTGCTTACTGAATGGGGCGTTGCTCTGGGAAAGGCGAGTATGAGGCTCGGAGGGGAAAATCACAGTATGCTCACTACAAAAAAACACCACTGGCACATTGCTGCGTCTACCTACAAACCCGCTTCTGAACCGAACCATCCCTTTTACTGGTTTTGTGTCCTTTGAGTCTGCACTGTATCGTCCCTTTTACACGGCTTGTGTTTCAGAGGCGTCCTGCGAGCGCAACCTGGAAGAACTCATCGAGTCGCTGGGAGCCAGCAACGCCGCCTCGGCTGCGGAAGCCCACCTTTCAGACGAGCAAAGCGCCACGGGGACCAAACAAGTCGATCAGAAGCACTCGGAGGTCGACGACGAAGCCACAACAGAGGGCGAAGAGATGAGGGAGCTCATACCGGAGGAGTCGGAGGGGGAAGCACAGGTAAAGGTGGGGCCAGGAGAGGACAATGAAGAGGAAGAAGAAGAAGAAGTATTGGTGGAATCTGAGCTCATGCTTTCACTGGAGGAAATGCATGAGACAAACATTCAGGAGGTTGGAGCAGAGCAGCAGGCGTCCGGCCTCAGGCGACGCAACAGGCCCGACTAAAATCCCTGCGGGACTTCTTTGCCGTACAGAGACGGGACAGATCGATATTGATATTTATTACCTGAAAGGCTTTCCTTCCAAAAAGCTGTCCGCGTGATCACCCAAAAACGTTAATTGCATTATTACCTCATGAGGGAAAGCTCGCCAACAGCAAACACATAGGGCTTTATGTACTAGGTCGCTGTCCCGCTTACTATCCCCAGGGAGAAACAAAATGGAGAAAAGGCCCATTTACCAGAATATTGTTAAGTAAATATTAAACTTATCTCAGCGAGCTCTCATTCCCTGTATTAAGCATCTGTACTCATGTTTCCCAACACATTTATTCAGAGAGTTTTAAAATGTCTGCTATGGTAATAATGAGACATGACATGATTTGTAGCATTCAAGCCACTTCTCATATTACCCTCTCACACGATCCAACGTCTGCTGACTGTGCATCATGTTCCCACCACACTGTTATAACCAAAATCTGTGGCAAATGTTTATTTTGTATGTACATATCGTTTTTGTCTACTCCCTGCATTGTCAAAAGAATACAGTTGAGACCGCTGATGACATGATGGTGAGGATTGGTAGAATCCGGCCACGGCCTAGTGCTGCCTGTTCTAGATAGTGTCCTAATCTCCTTTCCTGTCCACTAATGATCACCCATTTGAACTTGCTTGGTTTTCTAACCAATACACACAGTACCAGTTTTAAAGTTTGGACGCAGTTTTATCATTCAATGAGAAAGTGCATCCAAACTTTTCTGGTACTGTATTTTCTTTGCCAAAAGTGTATAATCTACATGAAGTGAGCGGGTGGTCGATGCCACTGATTGTTTGCCTTAACATTACCTTTCTCATGGTGAGCAACTCGCCACAAAAAGATGTAACTGATAACCGTCATGGCTATGTTCCATTCAATGCAGTTCAACGACTCAGTCGAAGAACAAATGTATGCAATAAAACAGAGATTATTGCACCATGACTGATGCCACAGGACGTGAGCTCGGAGCTTTTTATAGGCTGATCTTGTGTTCACACTGCTCCATCCTGTGCGGGTCTCCTCTAGTTGGGATAAAAACATTGCAGGGTTCATGTTGAAATAACATTTTCTATTTTATTAATGCATACTAATACTTTACTTTTTAAACATAGAGGGATGTCGCTGTGTGAGGAGCCTACTCAGACTGCAGAATATTCTAATGTAGTCATTATGGAAGTGTGAATTTGGTCTTGCGGCATGCTGTCTATACATCGAAACATAACTGCATGTTGATTTTGCTTGCACATTGTGACTGCATGTTTTTTTCATTTAATGATTGCAACCTTCATTGGTCCTTTGATCAACCATAGAGACAAAACTTGTGTACAATTCTGCCACCGTATACTACTTTTTAAAATCAGTTAATGTAGACGTGATGTTTGTTGGGTGCCTTTTTCACAGAAAGAAATCGATTATATATACATATATTTCAATCATTTTATTTAGGCTGATGTGGTAATCCTCGTAAAAGGGGACTTTCTGTTGTCTGTTGTCGGGTGACATACGTCTAGCTACAACCAGGGTGCTTCTCTAAATATCAAAGTACAATGAAAACATTTAGGCCTTGTTTTAACAAAATGAAGAGAATCTTTGGTGTCATTTGAACAGACGTACGTTTATATTCAACATAACATTCACAACTGAGCTGTATATGAATTCTGATCAGTTAGGACGGCACAGTTGAGGATGTACTACGTTTCATTTAATTTTGCCCTACTAAAAATATTAACACAAATGGTGAAAAAATCAGACATGTTTGTGTGTATTGTCCAATATGAGAGGTCCCTGTAGTATTGCTGTTCTTCCCATGAAATCTAACTATCAATTTGTAATGTGAAGCCCACAGACGATTGCCTTATTAGTGATGTGTTTGAACTGCACGTATGCAGCGTATGTTGGTTACGCATCTTTGCTGTTTTCCTCAATTCTGAGACTAAACATTTAGACTTTTTACCACATGCTGTTTCCCTAAATGTTTGCCTTGATTTTATTTATTTTTTCCCCTTTTTATTCATATTGTTGTAAACATTTTTTGTGTGTGTGTTTCATGTTGGGGTTAACTGAGGGAACTCGGAAGAAAATAAAACATCTAAAAGGTGATGCTGTTGGTCTATACTTTCATTTTTAACATTGTGGAAATATAACGAAGCCTTTGTTATCCATTACACCTGAGCCTTTTCCCTTCAAAATGTTTGAATTTACTGTCAAAGGGCCGATGATAAAAGAGGGACATGACAAACAAAGCACTGCTGAGGATGAAGGTTGAATCCGGCCTACCACTCAGATGTCAGGCTGCTTTCTGCAGCTGGCCCCCGACGGATGTTCTTTCAACCAATCAGCATGCTTATGCATCAATGTCACTTAAGCCTCTAGATAGCGTCACAGCTCGTATCTGCAGCTTCCCAGTCTGGTGTCGTATCCCAACTGGAGGAAGTGTTGATGCTCCTCTTTGTATCCTGCAGATGGTGCCACAAGTACACAGTTGCAGCACAGCAATGGGAGAACTGGGAGGCTAAAAAAAGGCATGTAATGTATATATATATATAGGATTGGCAAGAAACCCATTAAATGGCATTCAGCCAAGATCAAACTGGACAAGCTATCCATTAATTCCAACAAAAGGTAAATACCTTCTAAAGCTTCTCCAATCTGGTTAATTAAAACCACCGCTTCTCATCATAATTTATAATTAGACATACAGTTTAATAATGGCGTTCCTTCATGTAGCAGAGTAAAGAGATCTGGGATTCATTGCAAATTAGTTTGGCTCTCTCAATTAGGAAAGCAACATTTAATCAGCTCAGTCGTCTTCCACTGGGACTTCTGCTTAATTCCATCCAAGGGCCTGTGTTTAGGAGGATTTCTTTTAAATTATTCTTGTAAATTACGGTTGGGACTGTTTGCAGCAGAGGCTGCATGAGCTGCAAAAAACCCTGCTCTCTAGGCAAACATAAACATTTAAAAACTCTAAAAAAAAAAAAATTATAAACAGGTTGAAGCATTTCTGAAGTATTTTTATGTGTAGAGATTACATTTTTTAAGGGTTCTCAGACTTTAAATGCTTATTGACATAGATGACATGCTCTTTGATGCATCTTATGAGTTGGCAGTAATTGCTGACTGTGATGGGCTTCTTCACAGTTTTGGGGGCTCGGCCCACACTAATGTCTCACAGTCAAGATGTCTGGACCTCGACTGCCTGAAACACTGTGTTCACATTTCAGTTAATGTGTAGTTATGGGTACATAAAGTATTCATCTGTCCTTACCTATCTGTACACATGTCAGTATTCTCTAAAAACTATGAAAAAGAGCACACAGGGCCCACTGGGCCTTTGCTTAGTGTCTCGTTGCCCTGTCACTGTTATAGAAATAAGATCTCAGCATGTAAGGGGCATTTGAAATACACTTTATTTTCCTACAGAGAACATTCCTTTAAGTCCCAGGACAGATGCTTCATCAGACACACACTCAGCAAACACTCTCCCTGCTCTCGGTGACCTGTTCACTGCTCTGTACTACTGTTAATGAAGAACATCACGATAGTATTGAAAACCATTTATTTATTTCTCTGATTTTAAAACTAGCATACATACAATCATGAACTCTTTATGCTTTTGCCCTAAAATGTATTTTTGTCCCACTGAGCATCTGCTTCTTGTATGGAACATGGAGACTCCTGTCCTGTGGCTAACATCCACTCGCTCTTTTAAGCACCATTTTATTATTTTATTCTTTTCAGAAAGTCCTATCCTGAATTATAACCAGCCAAGGCCATGCGACAACCCCCTGTGGGGCTGAACCTGTGGCTCTACTCCAGGAAAATGGACGGGCCATCACTTTTTTTTTTTTTCTTCTTCTCTCTCCAGGTTCCGATAAAGATCAACAATTGGGCTGCTCTACTTTAAGTGAAGATACTGCAGGCAGGGTGAAAGGGTTGGATGAAATAATATGTGCTTCCTGTGTTGGTCACTGTGAGGATGGCTGCTCATAGACAAGGACCGTCTTAAACCCACAATAGTCCCCAATGCTTCAACTGTCATAGTAAGACTGACAATTTTCAAAGTTTAACAATTTGTTTTTTTTTAACTGAAATGAGAAGAATCAAGTTGCGGCAAATGAGTAGATGGTACTTTTTCTGTCAGGTGCATTGACTGTTGTGCTACTTTACTCCTTGATGCAACACAACCAAAGCCAATCAACCTGAAGGTAACTGCAGTTTTTATAAATTACCAAACATATTGCTTCTTTATTTGTACAAAGTACTTTGTCCTTTAAAAAAAACTAACACTAAAAGTTTAGTGTCTTTTCAAACATTTTCTGCAAGCATAACAAAATCTAAAGGGTCAGAAATATACAGTGCAGCAACTCCCAATGCTGTAAATGAATGAGATGGTGCACAAAGAGACAATACCAACCATATGTATATTGCACAGTGATACACGGTGATATTGATTATGCACATGACTAAATGAATGAGTGATGTGTCCGTTTTTAATAAGTTCTGGGGGTGTAGTCTTCACATGAGGACCAGGTGAAGCGGATGAGCGAGGCAGTGATGAAAACTAATAAGACGGAGAATACGTGACAGTTTATCTCAGTGGTTCCCAAACTGGCGATCGCGACCCCCAGAGGCGGCCCCCCCAAGGGCCGACGGGGGGGTCACGGCTTCATCACCAACCCTGAACAGTAAAAAGAAAAAACGAAAGCGAGATGAGGACTTCACATGTCATATATTTAACCTATCAGCCCTACAGGCTAATGGCTTTTTTGACTTCCGATTTAAAGCCCAATTAATCGAGTTTAAAATGCTGAGGAGCCATTAAACATGGCCTTCCAGGGTCAAACACAACAACCATGAATCCACGACCATTATACCTGAGCTCATTCGTTGTTAGTAAAGCGCCACCCAAGAGTGCAAAAAAGAAAATATTTATTGTCTCTTTCACCAAGAACAACCATTATTTTTGGAATATTTGTATTAATGGAAAGTCATATTCAAACCCAGAATTCAAAATCAGAAGTATTATTCAGAGCCAAATTTGAACGAGACAAGTAAAGAGTAATTGGCATACTGAGAGGCCACAGTTTTACAAAGCGGCCTTACATCAGGGAGTGATGCATGTAATTATGAGCAAACTGCCTGCTGTGTCTCTGCATTGATTGAGCTGTGCTTAGATTCCCTGAAGATGTTACAATTTCCTCCTCACATACTGTGGAGAATGGAGGATGCAGAGAGAGGCATTATTTTAGCATTTCTCTCTGACAGATTTTTTATATCACAGCTTCTTTCCGTGCTAGGAGGACAACGAGAGAAGGAGATGACGTCTGAACCCCCCTTTTCAAAATTGAATATCAAAAGGTGAACCTGCCAACAGACTGATGGAGGATCTGTGTGTAACTTCATATTTTCTCTGCTAAAACGTCAACATAAAAAACATATCTGGATTTTAATACGATGGTAATCGTAATATATATATATATATATATATATATATATATATATATAAAATTTATTGAGCTGTAATGAAATGATGACATAGCATGAGCATATTTCTGTCCTCCACTTTAAGCTATCGCCAATGGCAATAGGCGAAGCATTTAACTTAAATCCTTACCAGTGTGAAATGAAGGCACCAATAGCAATTCTCATTGGTGCGTTAGACCAGAGTGGATCTTAGATCAGAAGATGAAACTGCAGAAGATGCGCTAATGTCGTTGTGAAGTCTCTTTGTCTCACCTTTCAAAAAGGGTCCATCCATCCATCAAACTGCTTATCCAACTTCAGTCGAGAGACAGGGTACACCCCGGATTGGTCGCCAGCCAATCGCAGGGCTACACAGAGACATACAACTATTCACACACCTACGGGCAATTTAAAGTCGCCAATCAACCTGATCCCCAGAGCATGTCTTTGGACTGTGGGAGGAACCCGGAGAGAACCCACGCAGACACGGGGAGAACATGCAGACTCCACACAGAAAGGCCACTGGGCGGAGTCCAACCCATCGGAATATAAAACTGAGCTCATATAATATAATATAACACTGGACTCGGCTCTGTACTCCACCACCACTGCTGTGCACCTGTAAGTCAAGGGAGCACTGGTCACGTGTATTTGATGCTGTCAGGGAAAACAGGGATTTGTGTACACGTGTTAAGAAATGATGCTGTTGCTCAAACACAAGGCAGTGCTGCTCCCTCGTTCTGTACTTCCTCTCCCGTCAAACACACAGACATGTGATATCCCACGAGTCTAGATAGGATTAAATGAACCCAATTCATCCCCTAATCATAACCCACTGGAACAGTTTGAGGATATAAAAAAACACACGCAAGGATGCTGTTGAAGGATGACAGGCCTCAATTCAAAGATA